CTTAAATTGGCTTAAAATAGAACAATCACATGCTAACCCAGTAGCATTAGCAACTCTATTAACAGCCAATTTCACATCCACACCAGAGGGAGTAAAAGGTAATTTGCTCATTACCAACACCCTCTGGCAGTGGAAGGAAATGACTGTTCATCAAAAAGTATTTTCCAACATAACAATAGTAGCACCCATATGTAACCACCTCACTCTCCCTTCCACAACTTGATCACTGGAGAACAGCTACAGGAAAAGACTTTGAAATATAAGTGGGTTTGATATAGGAGGTCTACCAACCAGCATCTCCTTCCAGAATTCGCCGTACCTTCATCTCACCTCCACAATCCTATACAGTTACAAATGAAATGTTAGGTGGATAACCCTACAGGGTATAGGGTGGCTGTACTACCACAGAAGTTATTTAGATCAAAAAGGTTTCCAGTTCGTGTCTTGACTGCTTGAATAGTACCTCAGACTATTATAACCCAACCAGTTGAACATGGACAGTTCTTAGAGCTCACTGTGACCAGCTCTAAGCCATGGACTGATCTGGTGATCGAAGAAAATGAACCATTCAGAAAATGAACCGTATAGTATTACCTTGATGCGGCAGTTTTCAAACTCACCCACCACTGGCCTGCATTAAGTACATATTTATTCAGAAATGAAGTTATTTTTATTTGTTTTGCTTTTAATTAGTGTTCACTACATTTCCATATTTATGTGTTTGGATATAATATTATACTATTATAGTGATAAACTAGAGAAAAAGGCTTCTTACCTATGACCCTGCTCAACTATTTTCTTTTGAAAAGAGTCATCTCCTAATTCCTGTCTACCTCCCTGGGCCTTTTCTTCTTCTTCCTACCTCTGTCTGGCCTGTCTGCAGGCTAACCTGCCTGAAAGTTCTTTAGATATCAATCCCCAGCTCAAAAACTTTCACTGGCTCCCTGTTACCTCTAGGTACATTCCAGACTCTGCCTCTCCTACTCTTTGGGCTCTAGTTGGAATTTTTTAATTTCTCCCTAATATCCTAGAATACATCCCACCTTCCCTATCAGAATCAAATGCAACCATCTCCATAAAATCTATTCTCAATTATCCAATGGAAGATGATCCATTGCACCCTTTGGGATAGTCTGCCATTTCATAGTGGATTACAGAGGGGCTTCCCCCAGAACTTGCAATTGAGAGAAAGTTGGTTCTGGGAGAACCTAACTCTATCTATAGGTACCTTAGTCACTTAAAACAGAATAGCTCTCGGATCTTCAAAACATGACTGTACCAGAGTAACCTATTTAAAAAATGAGCTTATCAATCTTGTGAGGCTGAGAAGGAGAAATGATGTCTGGACTCCTCCTAGCAAAGTCTAGGAGAGAGGGGGCCATGGCCAACAGACTGATAATACCAGCCCCATCGGTGAGACCTGTGCTATCTGGGTTAGTTATATGATGCTGTCCTAGCCTGTTGCTACTTATCACTGGATTCTGTAAGTGTTCTTTGGTTCTGATTCTGTCACCCACAAAAGCCTTGTTTTCTCATGTTGGCCTAACTATACAGAAAGAGTATGCCGGTCATTATGGACTAAGAGCATTTCAGCTCCCATGACAGTGATTTCTCATTGTAAATTACTTAATTGACTCTTCATTCTTTTTTTTTTTATGTGCCCCAGGCATGAACCAGCTCTGGCCACCAATGCAGGCAACAAGCTAGGCTGAACTAAGGACTGTACAACTGCTTTGCCCCTGACTGGTATAAAAGCAACACCACCAATCAGGTGTATCCTTGTCCATTGCCAGGGGGTTGGCTCTTCATTCTTTAAATAAACATTACTGCACATCTACTCTGTCCCATATACTTGTCTACTCACTTGAGATAAGATGGGGAACAAGAAAAATATAGTCCCTTGATCTATGGAGTTTACAATCCAGAGGGAAATACAGACAACTGCACACACAATTCTAATATAATGTGATGACTGCCCTGTTGGGGTGCTCAGTGGATCAAAGTGGGAGTACATGGTTGGAGGAAGAATCCAGGGTTGGGGAACTAGAGAAGGCTTTGTAGAGGAAATGATATTTACTGACACATCAGCTGGAGTTAGCCCAAAAATAGTGGGAAGAAAAGCTGAATGATATGTATGGGCAAAGATTCAGGATATGTCTGAGAAATTGATCATAGTTTAGTAGAGCTATGATGGGGAATGTGAAGAAGAGCAGAGAAGAGGGTCAGGAAAGCAGGACACAGATCAAAGAGGGCCTTGTAAACCATTCTAAGGGTCTATACTCTATTGTGAGAACAATGGAGAATTATTGAAAGGTTTTAAGCAAGTAAATGACATGATCGTATATCTAGTTGCTGAAGGAATGGGCACTGTCATTGGAGATAAAGAGAAGAGGGACAGTAGTTTTATTTAGAACATACAATAGGCAGGACTTGGTAAGTGATGGGATAAGGGGACGGGGAATTGAAGTGAGTGGGAGAAAGAAGAATCAAGATGCTACTCATATTTCTGGGCTTGAACAAATGGAGTGCGTAGTGGTGCCTTTCGCTAAGGCAACATATAATAAAGGTTAAGAGCACAAACTCCAGAGTAGGGCTACTTGGGTTTGATTCCTTGCTTTACCACTTCTACTGTGTAGTCTTAGGAAAGTTACTTAACCTTTCTGTGCCTCACTTCTCATTTATAATGAAGATAACAAAGTATTTACATCATAGAGTTGTTATGCAGATTACATGAGTTAATAGTGACCTACTCAGAATAGTGTCTGGCGCATAAAAATGTTACATGTGTTTGTTAAATAAAATAGGTGACACAGGAGGAGTAGCACTTTTGGAGGAGTAGCATAAAGCAGGAGTGTCCAACCTGTGGCCCACAGGCTGCATGCAGCCCAGGATGGCTATGAATGCAGCCCAACACAAAATTGTAAATTTACTTAAAACATTGCAAGATTTTTTTTGTGATTACATGTTACAATGTATTTAATGTGTGGCCCAAGACAACTCTTCTCCTTCCCTTGTGGCACAGAAACACCAAAAGGTTGGACCCCCCGGCATAGAGGATTATGATTTTAGTTTTTGAAATGAGTTTAGTCTCATAGAACTGTAGAGATCTGTGGAACAATCAACAACAACTGTCTAGAAGGCAGTTGTACATATATATCTGGATCTCCAAATGGAGATCTATGCTGGAGATTTTGTTGTGGGAGCAATTGCCATGTGAATGGTAACTAAAATGAGGACAATCATTGGAATAGAGTAGAGAAGATGTAGAGTCAGAAAGGAGAGGACAAGACAAGAGAGAATCTTGAGAACCATTCTAGGAATGTTCTGCAGGAGAGGTACTGGCTAAAGAAATTGAGCACAAGGAAAACTCAGAGAGGGTGTCAAAAACTAAGGACAGAAAATGTTTCTAGAAGGAGGAAGTAGCAATTGGTGTCAAGTTTGTCAGATACAGTGAGAACCAAAAAGAGTTCGTTGGATCTAACAACAAAAGTTTGACCTTGACCAGTCAGAATTGCTGCAGCCAGGATGGAGGTGGTAAGGTGGGGGTGGGAGGAGGGTGGTGGAGGAAATACAAAGATACAGCAAATGCAAACAATTCATTCCTGAAGAATGGGGAGGAGAGAATAGACAATAGATGGAGGTCAGGAGAAGCTTATTTTTTTGATACAGTAGAATATATTTGAGCACATTTAACTGTTGTTATGAGTTGAATTGTTTCCTCCAAAGTTAATATGTTGAAGTCCTAACCCTCAGCACCTGAGAATGTGACCTTATTTAGCAGTGTCATTAGTTAACATGAGGTCATGCTGGAATAGGGTGGGCCTATACCCCAAGACTACTGCTGTTCTGATAAAGGGAAATTTGGAGACAGACATGTACACGGGAAGAACACCATGTGAACATGAAGGCAGAGGTGGGAGGGGTGGGGGAAAACCACTGGCAGCTAGGTGAGAGGAATGGGCCAGATTCTCCCTTGCAGCCCTCCAAAGGAATCAACCCTGCCCACACCTTCATTTCAGGCTTCTACCCACCAGAACTGAGACAATAAATATCTGTTGTTTAAGCCACCCAGTTTGTGGTACTTTGTTATTCCAGCCCTAGCAAACTAATAGCGACTGCTAATGGCATTTTCCATTTACCATATGAATAAGGGTCTCAGCAGGAAGTAGATGGCATGCTCAGACTGAGTAATTTCAAGGAATGTCTCCTAAAGGAACTAGTTATAAAGATGTGGGCAGTGTATAAGGAAGCTACAAGGTACCTGCACTGCCAGGGTAGAGTAAGAATGGACCTTGTTTATCTCTAGACCTCAGTGGTCAAGGGAGGGAGCAGACCTACCTGAAATGGGCAACAGAGCAGCTGTGTGGAAGGTCCCGAGACGGAAGTGTGACTAGAGCCTTACTCACTCTTGGGGACCTGCCAGAGGCACATCTGAGGGCACACGTGCGTATATGGTACAGTTCTCCCTCCCTATGATCTGATTATTCTACCACCAGCCAAGCCAACCAGAATCGTGAGAGCAAGATTGCTGGTTGAGGCAGCACCCATAGGTCTACTACATGGGGCACAAAGCAGAGGAAAGAGGGGTAGAAAGTAAAAGTGAGGGTCAACAAATGGAAAACCAACCCATTGCCTTTTCACATTTTGGAACCACTCAACTACATAACATATTAAAATATTTAAAATTTTAAAATGCTAATAATCATTGAGAGGAAGAAGCAGTAGTTATAAGGGCAGCATGCTGTGTAAGGCCCCCTAGAGGAGAGAGGTGGGCTGTTTTGTGGTGCCAGTATCCTCTTAGTTATATTTGTCATTGTCTACTTCTGTTTTAACTGATACAGGCTGAGTTCTCAGCACTTTTTAACTACTGGATAAATTAATATTTACAGTGTCTCTTTCTCTTTTTTCATCTTTGGAAATAACCATTGAGAGGGACTTTTTCTACTATCACTAAACTCTTGACTATTTGAAGTGACTGAAGTATATCTCTCTTCCCCTAGGATAAATTTGAGATATACAAGTATGCCAGTGACCATAAGGAAAACAGGTCTGGTTTAAAGTGCAGCCTCCTAAGAGCCAGGAAGTAACTCCAACAGAAGCTTCTGTTTATAGCACAACCGGTAAGAATCGTTTCTTTTATCTGTAATTATAAACATTTAATTAAACTACAAAAACTACATTATCTAAGCTAAAACATTATGACATGCTATCCTTTTTATATGCTTCTATGCTAGATTTAGCCAATGCTTTATTTCAAACAGAATCTTAATTCATTACAGAGTTAGCATAACCATTGATAAAAATAACAAATCTTTTATAATGAAGGTCAGTGTTCAAATGTTCATAGCAGTACACCTCTGACTTTTGCAACTTAAATACTGTTTTGATCCCACAAAGTAGCACCAGCTGTGTGATAGTTTTTGAGTCCTTAGGTTGGCTTTTCCAAGTGAAACTAAAGATTTGTATTGTGACAGTATCCATCTCAGGAGTCTTAGCTTCTCACATAATAATTAGAGCTTCAATCCATTGGTTACCTGCTTCTTGAAACAGAAAAACCAAATTTGGAAGTCAGCCTAATGGCTAGACTATTCATGTGACTTTCTGTATACTGTATTATTTATCTATTGTGGAAATCAAAACAAGGATGTAATAAAATACAGAAATTTTCATAATGGAAGGAGAAGGTTACTCATGGATAAATCATTTTAGGAAAATCAGAACTGAGCTTTGACCCAATTTCTCTGTTGCATGAATAATGGTATTAAGAGATGGAGATAGACCAAGCCTCAGAGAACATCAGTGATAGTAAATGAAGAAACCAGGTGAGTGAGAGAAATGACTGTGCTAAGTGGACAGGTCACTCAGGAAAGCAATGTGCATTCAGAATCTTTCTAACTGGAGATGTTATGAAAAGAAAGCTAAGGAAGCAATGAGAAGCCTTGTCCCAGTAGCTCAGTTGGGTAGATCCCTGGTCAGGGCACTTACAAGAAGCAACCAACCAATGAATAAATAAGTGGAACAACAAACTGATGTCTCTCTCTCTCTCTCTTCCGCTCTCTCTCTCTCTCAAATAAATAAATAAATAGAATTTTTTTTTAAAAAAGGAAGCAATAAGAAAAAGCCAAAAATAGCCCTGGCTGGTGTAGCTCAGTGGATTGAGTGCGGGCCTGCAAACCACACAATCGCAGTTCGATTCCCAGTCAGGGCACATGCCTGGTTGCAGGCCAGTTCCCAGCAGGGGACTTATGAGAGGCAACCACACATTGATGTTTCTCTCCTTCTCTCCTTCCCTTCCTTTCTAAAGATAAATAAATAAAACCTTTTAAAAAAAGAAAGAAAAATCCAAAAGTAGCCAAGAACTTTAATTTAAAAAAAAATTAAAACTAAAAAGCAAAAACCAAAGGGACAGGAAATGCGGCATACCCCATGGCCCAAACTCTCTTCTGATAAAATACACTTTCATGAATGGTCCTATTTCTAATTTTTTTAAAAGTCACACCCCCATGCTGCAACACACAGGAATCTTTTCATTTCTTCCCTTCATATTGGGGACAGAAATTCCCTTTGAAGTCTCCTTGTCATTGGAACTACATACAGGAGCACCAGAGTTCACCGGGGGCTGGGCTTTCCTCCCTTGTTGCCACTTGCACAGCTGATGTGCTCTTAGTTATAGAGCGCTGGACTGCTGCTGCCTTCAGTCAATCCGTTTAGCCGAAGGCCTCTGATTTGTTCACATTTACTACAACACATACAGAGGGCTGGAGGATTTTTTTTTTTAACTATTGATCTGGTGCTTTAAGAGGGGAAAAAATCTCCTTGGCTGTCTAAACACTATTGATCCTTGCTTGGGAGTCACAGCAGAAGTGTAGAAAGGGCGTGGATGAATTGAAATTTCATTTCCGACAACTTGTTCCTGTTATTTTTACCCTTTTGGACGGGGAGAAACACGTTACTGCGGCTTCAGTCAATGTGGTCGATAGCTCCACTGAGAAACTCAACACGGCTTCTGCCAGAGATTTGGCAATGAGACATGATATTGGATTTGGAGTATATGAAACTGAAGAATGCTGGTGAAAAGCATGTGGTCTTCATGCCAATCGGAAGCAGAGCAATTGGCTTTGGGCTCACTATGACCTACCATAGCAAGTGGCTTTGGAAAAAAGAAGGATTATGAAGGCTAATGACACACACATTTGAGAAAGTCCCTGAGTAGTCATGCAAGAAGCTTCACAGGGCTACACAGGCCCTGCTTCTGACTCTTGGCTGGCTTTCCGCACCAACCAAAGGCGAGATCCTCTCGAGCCAAAGCCAAATTTCAGGGCTTGATGAGCATTTTGTTGAGCTACTACAGGAAGTAGCTTATGGCTGACCAGAAAGGACCAATGCAGCAAGTGAGCTTCATGCCCTCAGGGAACTAGTGGATGACTCTGAGCATGCAAGGGCAAACATCTGCAGCCAGTGGCCTCAGGAAGCACTCCCACCCCTAAGCACACTGAGTAGATGTGGTTTGGTGCCAACAGCACCAGCTTTGTTCTTACTTTTATTGGACGTTCAAAGAATACAGGAGAGAACCAGGCTCCCTCTTCCTAATGGCAACATCTGGCATTCATGTAGCCATACACCTTTGATCCTTAAGGAGACCAAGGCACTTTATAACCTGCTATAGTGCTAATGGCAATAGCAACAATCTTATAATAAATGCGGCCAAGCATTCCCCATACTGGTTCTGTCCTCTCAGTTTTTGCAGTGTACACAGCAGTTCTCCATTCTGGAAGAAAAGATTCAGTTTACATCCCAAACACCCGTTTTGTTTGTCATTTTTTGCAAAGTTTATTCAGTACTGTTCTTGCCTTTTTTAACTAAAAGTACTTCATAACCATTCTTAATAAACAGTATTTTGTTTACATTTCCAATGATTTTATAAGTTCATTTATGTCCCACCCCCATCCCTCCCATTCCAGCAAAAAAATGAAAATGTTCTTTTCCCCTGGGAGCCAAGAATCTGCATTGCGGATGAGATTGCAAATTCAGACACAATAAACAGAATTAAGAAAAACTGAGCTGGCATTTGACAGAAATTGTAAAATGACACTCAGAAATGTTGCTCTTGTGGAAATTACTGATATTAAAATATAAATCAGTGTCTTGCGTTTCCCGTAGCGCCAGGGGCTCTATTAGGTTATGCAGTTTGATTGCTGAGCTGAACCTAAGAGACCTGGCAGTTCAGTGATGAAGTTTTCCCAAAGTATTTAACCCTTCTCCTGCTGGAGAGCAGGCACCGAGGCAAATGCCAATTGATTGTATTACCTCCAAAAGGCCTTGATTCATTCACTGAACCCTTTGAAACCTGGGAGAAGGTGGAAAAGGCTAACATAGGGAGGAAAAGGAAAGGAATTAGGAAAATCCATTATAAAAATGTGTCTTCTTGCATAATACCAGAAATTATACATCAAGGGGCACCTCAAGAAGCAGATTTGATTAACTTTTTTATTAATGCTAATGGGAAAAATAGTAACTGTACAGAAGATAAACTCAATAAACACCAGCATAACCAAGCAACCAAGTTTACTATCATCAGTAATAAGACAATGACATTATGTAAGATGCTAACAATGGGAAAACTAGAGAAAGTATATATAGGAACTCTCTATACTATTTTTGTAACTTTTCTGGAAATTTAAAAGAATTTCAGAAAGGCCTGTATGTTCTTGTTATTTCACCAGAATAGACCATTGCTTCCTTTGTGGAGAGACAAAGGAAATCATAAATAACCTTAATAATGGCAGATTATGTTGTGTTAAAAGATATTTGGTAAAATGTGGTAGAGGTGTTAGAGGTTACCTACCTGACATGGTTGCTGTGAGGATTAACTCTGTTGTTTCATGTTTAGAACATTGCCTGAGACATAGTAATGGCCAAGTTTTCTGGAAATTTATTATAACTTTCTATAATGCTGGAAATCAAAATTTAAGAGAAGATGACAGAAATGGCCATGGAATTAGGTCTTGAAGATGTTTGATTTTTGAACAGGAATAAAACAGACATCTCCCTTAAAAAAAAGAAAGTTAGAAAGACATTGAGCAGTCAGGTGGAAGAGTTTTCATCATGTCAGTCGATCATAATGGCAACCAAATTGAGATGAAGTATATCCTTCAGAAGAGGAAATTGTACTAAATGGCATGGGGATGCTGGTGGTGGCAGTAGAAAGATGTTGCTTTCTTCCCCACCCTGGATTCTCCTACGCCATGCATCAAGTGGAGAAAGAGGAAGTGAAAGCAAAGAGCTGATGTAACAAGAGAAAACCAAGTCAAAGAAGGGAAGGAGCATTTGAGAAAAATATCTGTGAAGTCTAAGAGTTCGTCCACAATGAAACAGGAGTTTCGATATCTGTAGTAGAAGCAACTGATGAAGGTGCTAGAAATGAGGCACCTCATGTAAGAGGTCTCTCTGGGAGGAATGTAAATAAGGGTACTTTGTCCATTTGCATTAGATTCAGCTTCATGGAACAGAAAAAAATCCAAAATAACAGTGACTTATGATATAAATTGTTCTGTGTCTAGGACTGACATGGTGGTTCCACACCATCAGGGACCTAGGCTCCTCCTGTCTCTATGAGTATTTATTCATGTTCCAAATGGTTGCTGGAGCATCAACCATTAAATCATCATTCCAAATAGTCAGGAAGGAGGAAGGAACAAAGAACTGTGCATTGCTTCTCTTTAGAAGATCCCTGGAAGTTTCTACAATATTTCTCTTACATCTCATTGGCCAAAACTTATAAAGTAACCATATCTAGCTACAAGAGAGGCTGGGATCAGTAGTCTTTTGGATGAGTACATGAGAACAACATTAAAATCAAGGTTCTCTTGCTAAAATGATAAATTTATAGATATTGAAATAGGCAACTGAAAGCCTCTGAAGTACTAAAGGAGGTAGCCATGGAGAGAGATTTTCACCTGGGACAGTGAGCCTGAAAAGTCCTGGAAATCCTTTTCTTGTTCCTTCTGTACCCTCGGGGTTTCTTTGTTTATTTGCCTATTTGTTTATCCTCACTCAATGACATTTTATCATTGCTTTTAGAGGGAGAGGAAGGAAGAGAGAGAAACATTGATGTGAAGGAGAAGCATTCATTGATTGCATCCCATACGTGCCCAGACCAGGGATTGTTTGCATCCAGACCGGGGATGGAATTCACAACCTAGATATGTGTCCTGACTGGGAATTGAATCCCCAGATCCTGGAAAAACTATCTCCAGCATCATCTCCTCCTATGGTCTTCCCCTAGTAGGTATGCCCTACATAATTAGGAATTTTTCTCTCATAATCCAAAACCGGGTTTGAATTCTCAAAGAGACGGAATCTCTTCATGCCAGGCCTCTGTTCACTATGGGTCCATCCATTCATTCTGAATAGAAATAATTTATTGAGGAAGAAGTATTCCTGTTCATTCATGGTGCTCACATATTTTTTTCAAATAGGGGAAACACTGACCATCCTTTCATCATCTCAATAATTAAGACTTAGAATTCATCTTTTTCATTGGTAGGAGGTAGAGCATGGAGAAAAATCTAAAATTCAGTAAGAGTAAAGGAAAGACTTATGACTGAGTGTAGGTAAACTTGTTTGTTAGTGTTGATTAACTCCCAAGGATAGCTTTAACTTTAAACTGAATAGTATCTCTTCCCATGAAAACCTAGAAAAAATGCTTTAGAGAAGAAAAATAGATCCTTGATATTCTTCCCTCCAGATCATGAAGGAAAAGGAATAGACAGCGTTGCTCTAAGACCAGTAGTCCATCTGTATACCCAGGCAGTTACCAGTTCCTTGGGGAGAGAGCCAGTGGCAGCAGTCTGTGATTACGGCCTTTGTGTAATCTAATGTGGGTCGATGGTGCATGAAGCACTAACATGTGTTTCCCATCCTGCCTGCTCAACCTGTGTTTCATTGAATTTGTTCACTTGTACCCTTTTTTTTCTTTCTCTCCCCAAAACTAAACAAAGACTCCCTGAGTTAAGAAAGAGGAAGCAAAGGGGAATTTGAGCATAAGCAAGAGAATTAGACCCTGAGATCAAAGACATGGGTGAAAGTGGGGAACACAGTAGAACCTCAGATAGATTTAGCAATTTAGAGGCAGAAGGGACTTTTAATCAATACCAGGATTGGGGAGCAGGAAAGTAAGCAAGATCTTAGGATTCTATCCCCTTCTTCTGGAAGAAGAAGGTACTTCAATACCTGGAAAGGTATTGAGTACCTTTCCAGGCAAAACATAGAATGATGGTAGGAAAGATCTAAGAACAAAGGATCTGAGACCAATGTCATTGATGTGTGTGTCTCTCTTTCTGCATTATAGGAGCATCCATGGAGGACAAAAGAGGTCCAGCAGACTCGAAGCCCACAAATGAGGAATATGCAGTATATGTGGCCCGTTAACCAGGATACAGGCATCTTAGCACACTTCAGCTGGGACACATGACCATAACCATGGACCAGAGTCACCCCTAATGCCAGGATCCAGCATAGGACCCCAGAACTTACATTCTGGAAAGCCTTAAAGAGGTGAAGGGGCTCATGAGCTGATTTACTTTTTAAGCTAAAAATGATGGAGCTTTCTCAGAAAATAGCTAAGATTCTGTTTTCTGCCATTTGGTGGAAATGGGACTCAATAAAGAGCAATAGAAAAATAGTAACTTTTTTTTTGCACACCTGAGTTCGTACCTGCTACACTCATGTGAGATGCAGTGTTATTCTTGGTAATCTGTAAGGTGCTGTGAGAAGTGGACTGAGGTCAACCCAGGAGGCACAAAACATTACTTGTTGCTCTGACCAAGATTTCGTTTTCTCTAAATTTTTTTTCTGGACACAGCTGTTACCAAGGGAAGGCCTACTGGAAAAGCAGACAGCAGAACTCGAATGCAAGAAAGCAGTTCCCTGGGAAGTTGCAGTAAAATTAGAGATGCTGATGGAGAAGAGGCATGAGGAAGTTAAGGCCTCAACAAAGAAGCAGGAGACATCAGCCCAGGAGACGTATTGAACAGACTAAGGTTTTGAGGAGAAAAAAGACATTAAAGTCCTGGGCCCAGAGATTAATATCCACAGATCAGGTAGGGAGCCCCTCCCTCTATGATCATTTCTCTTCTCTATGAAATATTTGTCCAGGCACACTCCTCAGAGACCTCTGTGAAGGTTCACATGATCATTTTATAAAGCACTTGAGGCTTCCTCAAAGCACTCTTCCTTATCCATCTGGCAAACATTACTGTCAAATGCTTCGAAAATTTATCATATAACCCTTCCATTTTTTTCATCATAAGCACTTCCAAATTGCCCACTGCTGTTCGTAATGACTCACAGGATTCCTATGTCTCTTTCATGGAACACAATTCAGCTCTCTCTTTTCCCTCTGACTTAATTTTCCTTAGTGAAGTCCAATATATTTCCATGCAAATAGAAGAGCTGGTGCCTTCCACTTTCCTTTCCAAGTGCTCCTGGCCCTTGCAGCTATCATTGTGTAACTCCATAGTAGATGAAACAGTCACAGTCTGGACAATCATCTTCTGTCTTTGAGACAAGACTGTATTTGACCTAAGAAGTATCTCCTGACTATCCAGTGGGTCTGCCTATGACATGGGTACAATTATCACCCCCTATTTTACAGATGAGCAGGTGGTGTTCAGGCAGGTCAACAAGAATGGTCAAACTTACATGCCAAGAAAGAAATGGGGCCAGGACTTCAACCCAGGTTGTCAGACTCTATAGCCCAGCATCACCTCACCAAGGATATATTGTCTTATTCCAATTTAATGTGATGCTTGGCCTGGACCTTTAGTAAGAAAGATGTCTGTCAAGGTAGAACATTGAGTCAGTAAACCTTAGGGCTAGGAAAGATGTAACAGTCATTTTCTACAATCCCCCAGTTGGCAGAGGCAGAGGCAAAGGCTCACAGAGATCAATACCTTTCCAAAAGCCACTTTTTTAATTAGGTGCTAAACCAGGTTTAGAAACTTGGTGGCCTAGAGCCCTGTTTAGTGTTCTTTTATGCCACACTATTTTTCATCTCATTGCCTAGTGCTGTAGTTCAAATGTTTGTGTCCCCCAAAATTCATGTGTTGAAATATTAACCCCCAAGGTGATGGTATTAGGACATGAAGCCTTTGGGAAGTGATTAGGTCATGAGAGTGGATCCCTCATGAATGAGATTAGTGCCCTTATAAAACAAACCTCACCAAGCTCCCTTGTACCTACCATCATGTGAAGTAACAGAAGAAAAAAAATAGCCATTACAGAAGTGGGTCTTCACGAGACACCAATTCTGCGAGTGGCTTGATTTTGGACTTCTCAGCCTCCAGAACTATGAGAAAAAAAAATTCTGTTGTTGTTAAGCTACCCAGGCTGTGATAGCAGCCCAGCCAGCTAAGATACCTAGCATGGAAGTCATTTGTGATGTTCATCAATAGTTCCTTTGGGGAATCAAGAAAGAAGTTAGGCATGACCATGTGACTTGTTTTGGCCAGTGAAATGGGAGCAGAAGTGAAATGTGTCACTTCCGCTTTAAGAACCTGTATGTTATTCACCAAGTTCCCTTTCTGTTTCCATGGAAACAAGCAACATACTAAATGATAAAGGTTCTACCAGATGAGGATAATGAAGAGCAGAGCCCCAGCTGACTCATAAAGGACATGTAGAATGAGTGAAAAATAAACCTTCATAGTTATAAGCCACTGAGATTCGTAGCATCACTAGCCTCTCCCTGCTGGGTAAGCCAAAGCTACATCACCATTCCCATGATGCATCTGGGTGCTTGAAGATTTAAGAGGATAAACAATGCAGCACATCAGAATACACCCCCATAAAACATTCCAAATTCTATGTCTCACCAGCATTCTTTCTTCCTCTTGGCTTACATTAGGGGTGGGGGATGTGGTTCATTACACAGAATAAGTATTTTGATAGCTTCTCAATCTTGGAACTATTCTGCAGGTAAGTGCCTGGTGGAAATTTCCTCTAGTCTTGGAGTTAAAAACATAATGAATTAGATTATTTTATTAAGCTCAATGCATTATGACCTCAAATACATCATCCTGTACTTACACACATACATATGCAAAAATCTTTGGCTTTGAGGCTTTTTATCTGGATATTCACAACACATTATGTTTCCTAACTTTACAAGCACCAACATTACAATAACTTGATGCTTAAATCACATCATCAGATATTTCCAAATTAATAGTTATAAACTAGTGGAAGCTCCTTGTAGAGCAGTAAGGAAGCTTGTGTGACTTTGAGTAAGTCACTTTGCCTCTCTGGGCTTCAATTTCTCCTTCCATAAAATAGAAATAGTAATAGTATCTACCTCCCAGGGTTATCACTAAAATAAAGTTGGGCTGTGCATATTCCATCTGGCTCATAATTAGTGCATAATGTTAATTATGTTTGAGCCATAGAACACTTAGAAATCTAGAAAGTAAGATTATTTCAGACCTTTTGCTTTCCAAGAAGGATGAATTTAGAAACTATTTAGCGGTGGGATGTTTTTTGTTGTGTTTTTTAGGGGGGTGGTGTTTAGCAGAGGGGAAAGATGTAAAACCATGGTCGTCTTCCTCCTGGTGAAGGTTTTAACACTTTTGGAAACACAAACAGGTAGGCAAGTAAGTATTGCTAACAATTGGGGAAATTTTTCTGAACTCCCTGCTGAGAACACACATCCAGATGGGAAAACCTTTAAAGGGCTGAACTCATTTATACTTTTTCCATCTTAAATTTTTATACTTTTCCAGGTTTATAACGAAGCTCAGAAAATGCTAAAGCTTAAAGGAGAAATGAGAGGTGCCAAGGAAATGAAAGATGAGGTAAGGCTAACTCCTCTACAAACACAGAGTTGAATCTTTGTTACAAGGCACTTCTTTTCAAGGTTCATGACTCAAAATTTCAGTAATAAGCATCCAAAAATATCACAGACATAGGTGGGCAGCAGGGCACAGGATTTAAGAGTCCACACTTGAGCAAAGTGGGTCTGAATCCACACATGCAGTTTTAATACTGAGCATGTTGCACACTCTCTCAGAGCTTCCTTTGCCTTACCTAAAAGATAGGAAAAATGAGCACCTGTTTCAAAGGCTTGCTATGAGGATTCAATAAAATACTGCATATAAAACACTACTGCTTGGCACAGAGAAATCACTTACAGACACTAACTATTGTTGCCAACATTCTTTATCTGCAATGTTAGGGAAGTGGAGTGTTTTGATTAGTCTAATATTTTGGTCAAACTGTGTTTATGTATTCCCTGACTTGTTCCAGAAAGGATTTGAGAGATATGTTTTGATTAGCATAGGGTTGTCCCAAATGACATATGCTTTTTAACAGACCTCCTACCAAGAGGTGAGCAGCTTCTTGTTTCACGCAGGCCTGTGAAGCAAATAGTCACCGGTTCAATTCCCAGTCAGGGCACATGCCTAAGTTGCAGGCTGGGTCCCCAGTGGAAGACACATGAGAGGCAACCACACATTGATGTTTCTCTTCCACTCTTTCTCCTTCCCTTCCCCTCTTTCTAAAAATAAATAAATAAAATATTTTTTAAGAGAAGTGTTTCAGCTCCTTTCCTGATGGATTACTAGAGAGACCCATACAGGATTTGCTGAGAGTTTTGCAGGGAGAAAGGATCTGGTATGCATTTGCTAGAAGGATATTCATTCTTTCAGTTGATATCTATGGAGCCCCTTCAATATGACAGGTAATGTTCGAGGGGAAGGGGACAAAGCACTGAACAAAACAAAGACTCCTGTTTTCATGGAGCTTACGTTCTTTTTATTCTTTTTTTAAAATATAGTTTATTGATTATCCTTTTACAGTTATCCCATTTCCATCCCACTTCATTCCCCTCTGCTCTTCTCCCTCCCTCCCACCCACCCATATTCCCCTCCCTGAGTTCATGTCCATGGGTCATACATATGAGTTCTTGGGCTCCTCCATCTCCTATACTATTCTTAACTTCCCCGGTCTATTTTGTACCTACCATTTATGATTATTACCTGTACCTGTTCCCCTCTTCTCCCACTTCCCCACTCTGCTAATCCTCCATGTGATCTGTTTCTGTGAATGTGTTCCTGTGCCAGCTGTTTGCTTAGTTTGTTTTTGTTTTTTAGGTTCAGTTTGACAGTTGTAGAGTTTGTTGTCATCTTACTGTTCATATTATTGATCTTATTCTTAGATAAGTCCCCTCAACATTTCCTATAATAAGGGCTTGGTGTTAGTGAACTCCTTCAACTTGACCTTATCTGGGAAGCCCTTTATCTGCCCTTCCATTCTAAATGAAAGCTTTGCTGGGTAGTCATCTTGGATATCTGTCCTTGCCTTTCATGACTTCAGATACTTCTTTCCAGCCCCTTCTTGCCTGTAAGGCGTCTTTTGAGAAGTCAGCTGATAGTCTTATGGGAGCCCCTTTGTAAGTAACTGTCTCCTTTTCTCTTGCTGCTTTGCAGATTCTCTCCTTATCTTTAATCTTGGGCAACTTAATAATGATGTGCCTTGGTGTGTGCTTCCTTGAGTCCAACATCTTGGGGACTCTGAGTTTCTTGGGCTTCCTGGAAGTCTATTTCCTTTTCCAGATTGGGGAATTTCTCCACTATTTTTTCAAAAAAGTTTTCAATTTCTTGCTCTTCCTCTTCTCCTTCTGGCCACCCTATGATTCAGATGTTGGAACATTTAAACAGAGGTTCCTAAGCGTCTCTTCATTTTTTTGAATTCTTCATTCTATTCTGGTTGAATGTTTATTTATTCCTTCTGGTCCAAACCATTGATTTGAGCCCATTTCCTCCCATTCACTATTGGTTTCCTGTATATTTTTCTTTATTTCACTTTGCATAGCCTTCACTTTTCTATTTTGCGACCATATTCAACCATTTCTGTGAGCATCCTGCTTACCGTGTTTTGAACTCTGCATCTTTTCATCCCTTGGCTATCGTTTCATCCCTTAGTTCTGTTTTTGGAGCTTTGATCTGTTCTTTCATTTGGGCCACGCTCCACATGACGGTAAGGGCAGGGCCTTGTATGGGGCGGAGCCTTAGGTATTCATCAGGGCAGGGCAACTCACCTCCCTGCGTTGTGATGCTGTATTCAGGAGAGGGGTCTGAGAGGGAACAATGCCACTTTCTCTGCTCTCTGACAGCTTTCAGTCACTTCCCCTGAAACCCACAAGCAAATTATGGTGTTGGTTGGTAGCACTTCTCCTGTTACCCACAAGCAAATCGGGCCCTTCTGGTGCTAGTTTTCAGGTGGGTGGGCTTGTGTACATTCTAGGACCCTGTGGGTCTCTCCAATGAACTCTCCTATGAGTCTGGGAGTTTCTCTGCCACCACAAACCCCACGGGTGTTTTCAGTCAGAGGTTTTGAGGCTTTATTTCCCTACACTGGAACCCTGGGTTGTGTGGTCTGCCTCACTCCCTATTTATTCTTCCTGGTTTATCCACACACAAATGTGGAACTGCCCAGTCTGCCAGCCACTGCCTTGCCGTGAGTCCTCTCTGCCCTGGCTGCCTATCTCCACCCTTCCTACTGGTCTGGATGAATGTTTCTTCTTTAACTCCTTGGTTGCTGGATTTCCATACAGTTTGATTTTCTGGCAGTTCTGGTTATATTTTGTTTTTAAATTTGTTGTTGCCCTTTGGTTGTGCAAGGAGGCATAGTGTATCTACCTATGCCTCCATCTTGGCTGGAAGTCCTGGAGCTTATTTTCTAGTGAAATAATTACTCTCCAAGGATATGATGGAGAAAAGTATGTGGCAACTACCCAAGTGCCAATAAAAATTGTCCATATTCCATAGGTGGCTGACCTCTGCCACATGCCATGTATATCCTAAACCACATACTTTATATAGTGTACCTATTTTTAAAGAATTTAGAATGCAATAGAATACAAGATATACTCATTCTTCATTATATGAATGTAACTGGTTTGAAATTTTTTGCTCACAGACAAAAAGCCTTTTATAATACCCGTTAACTCCCATCATAAGTTATCAAAAACTCAATATCCCTATAGATGGAAAAGTTAGTAGTAATATCACTAACAGTGTTTAAAACTACTGTGGGTAACTGTAAACTCTATCATTACACATGCAAAATTTAAAAATTCCTGAAGCAATGTTAACTTTTAAAGTCACCTACTTTTTAAAACATAACTCTCACTATAAACTTATATATGTTGAATGGCAGTGGTGGTTAAAGTGGCTTTTCATTGTTGAAAATTTGTTATTATTCTCAAAGAAGATAATTTCCCAAATGGTGTTCGTTGACACCAAAATTACTCTGGAAACTTCCACCCAAGCTTTCTTGTTTATTCAAGGGCCAAATGCCTTGGGAATGCTGTCATCTTAAATCTTCGTAATGCTCTTGGGATTTGAGAGTGCTACTGAATCACAAGCTTCAGTTTAACATCATCATATCCCCAAAAGAACATGAGACTATATGTCAGTACTTTGAACCTAGAGCAAAATTTCTTCCCATCTTTTGAAATATATGTTCAAGAAGACATGCTCTTTCAAAAAAGATCCATTTAATCAATACAGAAAATTTGCTTCAGTATATAACCTATTTTCCAATAACTATCATGAGTTTGGTAACACCTGCAGTATCAGCACTCACCATTTTGCCTGTGGTTAGATGATATCACATGCAGTCAAGCTAAGTGACCAGGTTCCAACCTCATCTAAGCAAAGCTGGGAATCTAAGCACTTGGCTTATGTAAGTGAAGACTAACCTAGCATCACAGGCTTGTGATTTCAGCCATCATTAATGACTTCAGGTTTAGGACATGATCAGATGGTGCCTGAGGGTCAGCATTATGACTCTTAGTTCATCTCATGCCTAGTACTGGTTACAGAGCTTTGATTGATGAAATGTCAGATTAAATCAATTCTTATGACACATTGATACTCAAAAGGCATCTGCCTGGAATTTAGCCTTCAAACAGTAGATAGGATTAGAAATAGTGTATAGTGACCTCTGTGCAAAATATTAGCAAGAAATTAGGTTTACTGGAACCTCAGAAACATTTGCCTTTCTAGAGTCTGAGGTGAGCACCATCTCTTCTTACAATTTCCTACAATAAAAAGTAATACGTGATTCAAGGAAATCATTTTATTGCTCTCCCTGCATTTCCACTCCTCTTCTGATGAATAAAAACCCCTGTAAGATTTGGCCTTTAGCAGTGAATGGTTAAATTTTGATTTCAAAAATAAATTTCATTTAACATCCAGCAAAACACATTTGTTATTCAACTGTTTCAGGGAATCCTCATAGAAAGATTATTTATTTCAAAACTCATGTGTTATAGACAAAGAAATTGCCTCAGAGACTTTGAGTCCATGCTAATGTCCAAATTAGATGAGATCATCTACATTAAAGATCTAATTCTGAAGTCCTGGTCGTGCAACAAAAAGGGGCTAGCAGGTCTTCAGCCCAGAGGACATCCAAAACTGGGGGAAAAGGGGATTTTTTTTTCTTGTCCTGAAAGAGAGAGGGCATTTAACTTTTAACTCAGAGAGGTTCAAGTTGTACAGCATTCGTACCTCACTGTTGAGTCCACAGTGTGGCGGACTTCCTGGAACAATCTGGTGACCTGATCCTCATCTTAAGTTTGAGATGTATATATTTAGCATCAGTGCAAGAGTACAGGGCATTTGGCATTTCCATAGAGCAGGCATTCTCTTGTCACCTAATCTGTTCATAGATGCCAAAGAAAGACAGTTGTGGAGCAGGAGGAGAGAGGATCCCTAGGATCTCACTCCCAGATGAGCCTCTGTATCCTATTCTCACTGTGGCAGCCGTTACAAAAGGGATTTAAAGCACTGGAACCAAACTGCTGCTTCTTGCTGGGCAAGGATTTTGTTTCCCAGTTAGAAAAGTGTCTGTACTCTACTTTTTTTTTTTTAGCTGCTCTAAACATATTCTCTTAAGTGAGTCCCTGGTAATTGTCTTAATGGTAATTACATGCTTGGGGCAGTTTGACATCCAATGTTATTTTTCTGAAAGTGAGGAACAAGGGAGGGGGAGGAAGAGAGAGAGTTTTGAGATAATGAAATACTTTTAATGACAGAGCCATGCCGTTAACCTAATTAAACTGTAAAGTGGAAAAAAAAAGTCCAGGTACTAAATGGAAATGAAGAAATAAATCAGCTGAGACAGCAGCACTTCTGGGAAACCTTCTGAATTCCGCATACTCTGACATTGTAGTGTCCGATTCTCCTGATGATTCTCTGGCCCCCCTTAGCCATGAGCAGAGGTCTCTTAAACTGACCTGTCCAGTAAGGCTTGATTTATGATGTCCATATCAGGTCTCCTCCACTAGGGATGTATGTTGTATAGCTCATATATTTAGGAAGCCAGAGCAGTCAGTGGGCTATGGTGACAGCACTGGCTACATGGTCAGGACAGCAGACCTGCTCATCCTGCTGCTAACTAGCTATGGGACCTTGTTGCTTGGATCACTTTCCATTTCTTTGCACCCATGGCTTGTGTACCTTTATACCTACAACTCTCTTAGAAGAATGGTCCTTAGGCTGTTGGGGTCACTTTGCCCACAAGAGCAGAAAGCTGGAAGTCCTTGGCTGCTTACCTCCCATGCAGCTGCACTTAGCCATTGACTGGCTGATGGCAAGTCTGACAGCCCAGCTTTCAGTGCATCTAATCAGGACAGACTTTGAGGTGTAACTTACACTCCAGATTTCCTCGTGGGGTCAGGCTAAAGCCACTGCCTGCAGGACTGTGTCTGAAATCCTGCCCTTACTTGGTTTTTTCCCCTTCCCTATCCTGTTTCCCCCACTTCCTTCCTAATTACTTTTGGGAGTGTTTCTTTCATAGGTGCCGTGAATCCTCACCTTAGAGCCTGTCCTGAGTAATCTAACATAAGACAGGTACCTACCATAAAAGCATCAGCATCAGTCTCAACATCTGAAACTCAGAGGTGGTAGATAGTACCTGTCCTCATGAGTGTTATAAACAGTGTGTTAGGACTAAAGCACTGGACAGGTTCACAGAGGGCTACTTCCTAATTTCTTTTCACACTAATGGCAGCCACCCACAACACTGGGAGTCAAAGGGGGCACCCTAGGGTAATGGAGCACCCCCCCTTACCACAGCTCCACACCCCAACCCCACCAAAGTCGCTATGCTTCGCACTCTCTACTAATGATCTTGATCACTAATTTCCATTCTGACCTAGCAATAATTAACTAATCTTTTTCACTCATATTCAAAGGCAATGATCTTATATAATCAGCCAAGGGATTTTACTTTTATTCTCATTGGTATGTCTCCAAAGAAAAAGCACTAGATTTGCAGGTGAGGGAGGTCTTTTAGTTTAGTGGGTAGAAGCAATAGTTAAGAGACTTCAGAATCCACATCAACTCCATCACTGATTCCCTAGTCTTGACAAGTTCATCTGACATCTCAGTATGTTAATTTTATCAGTGGCAGAACCATTAATATTTATAGACAATCTACGAGGTGCCTGGAATTATTCTAGGCACTGGCTTCCTCTTGAAAAACGGGGGAAATGTCTGTGATGCACCTACATCAGTGGGCAAAGATTAATTAAATAAGTAATTGTCTGAATAATACAGAGCACTCAGACACCTTGAAAGTGGAGAATATGTAAATGCTACACAGAATGAGTAATAACTGTAGAGGGAAGATGGACAAATTTTCAGCAAATTTAAAGTCTCTGTCAACCAGTTAAGTGAATTAAAGTAAGCACTTTCTTGATGGTTTATAATTGATGCTTCTGTTTTTCTGAATGCATAGGGAGGGGAAAGAGACAGAGAAGTGAGCAGCCTGAACAGCAAGCTCTTGAGCCTGCAAGCTGACATCAAGAGTCTACATGATGTTTGCAAGAGACAGGGGAAGACCTTGCAGGAGAATCAACTCTGTGTGGAGGAGGCAGTGATGAACAGCAGCCATGTAAGTGTTCCAGCAGCTCCTACCCACCTCTCCTCTCGTGACTTCCACTCTGCTTCTGTTGACAGGAACAATAATAGAAAGTTCTTCCACAAGAGCATTTACTGAGCAAGCAATGAAAGAATTAAACACATCCCCCCTATCTCTCTCATACACACACAACACACACACGCACACCCATCCTGCCCTCAGGACTTTTCAGTCTAGCTGTCTCCAAGATCCTGTGTATCTGAGGCTCTGTCTCGTCCTTATCTGGCCTTTCACACCTGTGCATTTGCACCACCTGTGGCCATTGCCCTGCAAGAGCAAATTACAGTTTGTTTTATAAGAAGAACAGCATCTTCAAATGCATCTTAAACTTCTAAATTAACAAAAAATAACAATCCTTCCACCTGCTCAGAGGAGTCCCTGCTTATCAGTGCAGCAGGTGTTTGGTTTTTTTTTTTTTTTTTGCCAAAGAAATAGTTTGGTCATTTTGTTACATTTAATATTATTTTGTATTGGTTTCAGGTATACAGCATAGTGGTTAGACAGTCACATATTTTACAAAGTATTCCCCCGGCTATTTCCAGTACCCACCTGGCAACTTAAACAGTTAGTACATATATAATAATAGTTATTACAATCGTTATTACTATATTTCTTATGCTGTGCTTTACATCCCTGTGACTATTTTATAACTACCAATCTGTACTTCTCAATCCCTTCACCTTTTTCACCCAGTTCCCCCAATCCACCTTCCCCCTGACAGCCGTCAGTTTGTTCTCTGCATCTATGAGTTTGTTTCTGTTTTGTTTGTTCATATTGCTCTTCAGATTCCACTCATAAGTGAAATCATATGGTATTTGTCTTTTTCTGTTTGACTGACTTCACTTATCAAAATACCTTCTAGGTCCATGCATGCTGTCACAAATAGTTAAAATTTCTTTCTTTTTATGGCAGAGTAGTATTCCATTGTACATATGTATCACAGCTTTTTTATCCACTCATCCATTGATGGATACTGGGGCTGCTTCCAAATCTTGGCTATTATAAATAATGCTGCAATGAACGTAAGAGTGCATATATTCTTTCGAATTAGTGTTTTGGGTTTCTTTGGATATATGCCCAGAAGTGGAATCTCTGGGTCATAAGGCAGTTTCATTTTTAATGTTTTGAGGCACTTCCATGCATTAGGTTTCCATAATAACTGCATCAATCTGCATTTCCACCAACAGTGCACAACAATTCCCTTTATTCCACATTCTCACCGATACTTGCTGATCGTTGATTTATTGATGATAGTTATTCTGATAGGTGTGAGGTGATATCTCATTGTGGTTTCAAGTTGCATTTCTCTGACAATTAGTGACATTGAGCATCTTTTCATATGTCCATTGGGCATCCGTATGTCCTCTTTGGAGAAGTGTCATTCAGATCACTTGCCCACTTTTTAATTGGATTGTTTGTGGGGTGGGGTTTTTTTTTGGAGTTTCATTGTATGAGTTCTTTATTTGGATATTAACCACTTATCAGATGTATCATTGATGAATATGTTCTCCCATTCAATGGGTTCCCTTTTCATTTTGTTGATAGTTTTCTTTGCTTGTACAAAATTCTTTTAATCTGATGTAGCCCCATTTGTTTTTTTTTCTTTTGTTTCCCTTGCCTGAGCAGATACTTAGGGGAAAAAATGTCTGAGATTTTACTATGTATGTTTTCTTACAGAATTTTTATGGTTTTGAGTCTTATATTTAAGTCTTTACTCCAGTTTGAGTTTATTCTTGTACGTGGTATAAGAAGGTGGTCTTATTTCTTCTTTTGTTTTTTGTTTTGCATGTATCCAATTTTCCCAACACCATTTGTTGAATGGACTCTCTTTACCCCATTGTGTGTTCTTACCTTTTTTGTCAAATATTAATTAACTATATAGGTGTGGGTTTATATCTAGGCTCTCTTTTCTGTACTATTGATCTATATGTCTACTTTTATGCCAGCTCATACTGTTTTGATTACTATGGCCTTGCAGTATAGTTTGAAGTCAGATAACATTATTCCTCCAACTTTGTTCTCTTGCTCAAGATTGCTATAGCTGGCCCTGGCTGCTGTAGCTCAGTGGATTGAGCGCAGGCCTGAGAACCAGAGTATCATGGTTCAATTCCCACTCAGGGCATATGCCTGGGTTGCAGGCCAGTTCCCAGCAGGGGACACATGAGAGGCAACCATACATCGATATTTCTCTCCCTCTCTCCTTCCCTTCTCCTCTAAAGATAAATAAATAAAATAAAAATATTTTTTTAAAAAGATTGCTATGGCTATTTTGTGGTTCCATATACATTTTTGGATTATTCTAGTTCTGTGAAATACATCATTGGTATTTTTATCAGGTGCTCTTCATTGCTACACCTGTAGCTCTCTGCCTGCAGCTTTTCTTCTTGATGCAAGAATCCAATCATAGGATGAGCTGAAATGCAGAAGAGTTAATGCCTCTAGAAGCAGTCCCCAATCAATGACTGATGGAGAATTGGTGAATTAAATAACCTATCTCCCTTACCCCTCAGTTAGAGGTAATTCCCGGCATGCTCTTTGCTGTGTTCCCAAGTTTCTCAATGGCACTCAATGCCAGATGCCCACAGTGGTAACTAGCTTGACAACACACCCTTTCACAGCTCCCTTCCCTTCTTTGTCTTATCGTCCTGTTTCACTACCTGAGTTTCCAAAGATCACTGACCACCTAAACTACTACTTGATACTCAGTTCCTTGTCACAGGGCTTGCTTCCAGTAGTACTCAAGCCAAGATACCCAGTAACACTTGTCCTACACATATGTGAACAGAAAGACCTCCTGGCCTGGTCATCTTTATTGAGACTGTGATTTTGAACTAACACTTATCTGTTACCTAAGCAGTTCATCAGCTGAGGCAACCTCACTTCAGCCTGAGGTTTTCTCTCTTTAGAAACTCTGGCACTAAGTCCTTAAACCAGTCTCTAAATTTATCCACAAAAGCTAGTAGGCCAGCTGGAAAATATTTTCCCAAAGCTCTCTCAATACTTTGGGTTTCCAAGAATTCCTTACTTTTCAGCCTTCATTTCCGTTTAGGGATTTGAGTTCTTGGCAACCATAAAGCACGTACTGGTTGCACAGACCTATTGCTGGACCCCCAAGTTAGCTTCTTAGATGCTGTGTAAGCAACCACCATCTTCTTCAACATTTGTGGTCAAGGATCTGGGCTCTCTTCATTGTGTGTGTTAGAGTTCTCCCAGGACTTACCACTTCCCTGTAGAAACCACAGATTGTTTCTCTGTAATGCCCTAAAAATGCTACAAACAAAGCAATTCTACCTTATCTTACTGAGCACTGCTGTCCTTTCTCCAGTAAGTCACAACAAATATAGAGAAATCCATTGGTTTTTTAAATGGATCTCAGGAAGGCTATTACCATAATTTACTTCTTTCTAAATATTAATGTTTTAGAATATTTTCACCATTGCTGTCACAAGTTTATTTATTCCCCAAGTCAGGGAAAGCCATGTGGCTTATAAATACCTGGCAACTTGGAAGGAGAAAGATATTAAGTCACATTTTATTATTCTAATTGCCCAGAAGGTCTAACAGCTTGAAACAAGCTTTAAAACAGGCTCTTTTTTTCCTAGCACTTAGTGCAGAATTTAAATTGCAGACTCTGCATACAAATATACAATTAGATGTAGACTTATACTCATCCATTCAGAAAATCCCTGCAAGATCTGCCTCCCATAAGGAAGTGTAATATGGGAACAAAGGGGAAACTCAAGACTTTCTGAAATATCGACTGGTATCTAACAAGGAGCTGGGGAAATAAGCAGGAGGTCAGAGTTCAGGACCACACTTATACTAGACAATTAAAATATTGTATCAGATGTTGTGTGTAACTAAAGGAGCAGCAGGAAAGGAGTGGGTGATGAGAAAAGAAAATGACATGACCTTGTAAATCAAGAATACACTGTGTTCTAAAACCCAGGAACAGAGCTGGAACTAAGGGAAAGCAAGTGACGTGCCTAGGTGTAAAAGTTAAAGGGCATTCATTCTCAGGTGCCATCCCTTCATTTGTTCAATTTTGAGACTGAGAGCTTTCTTGTTAATTGCATGTCAGTTGCTTTACTCTAGTCCCTACCCTGCCCAGGAATCAAAAGAGGGCCCAATTAAAGCAAAAGGAGAAAAGAACAACAGAGATATTGTGATGGTCAAACCAGAAAAAGGAAGGGTCTCTCTGAACAATTTCCCAGACTTCTTTGGCCCTGGTGGTAGCATGGGGAAACATCCTGATATTCAGTAGGGCTCAGATTGTCAAATTCATCTTTGAAGTATAAGAAGGACATTATTTTTAGCATAAAACTCTGTAAGAACTTTCATTTCTGCAGATAAAAGTAATTAGTTGAGTATGTAAAGATTAATAGACTTCCAATGAAATTATCACAGAGATATCATTTTGAATCATTGGGAATGAAAAAAACATGTAAGTGAATAAATTAAGTATTAATGCCATGTGGGATCTTAGATTGAATCTTGGAACAGAAAAAAACACATTCATTGAAAAACTGATAAAATCCAAATAAAGTATTAGTTTACGTAATGGTAACCTACCAATGTTAATTTCTTAGTCTGGACAAATGTACTGTGGTTATGTAAAATTTTAACATTAGGGGAAGCCACATGAAGAATATATGAGAACTTCCCTGACTGGTGTGGTTCAGTGGGTTGGGCATGGTCTCACAAACCTAATGGTCATGAGTTTTATTCCAGGTCAGGGCACAAACCTGGGTTGTGGGCCAGGTTCCCAGCTGGGGCGTGCAAGAGGCAGCCAGTCAATGTTTCTCTCACTCATTGATGTTTCTCTCTCTCTCTCCCTCCCTCTCCCTCTTTCTAAAAAATAAGTAAATATAATATTTTTAAAAAGAGTACATGAGAACTGCCTGTACTCCTTTTGCAATTTTCTGGAATCTAAAACTATTTCAAAATAGTTAATTTTTAAGCGAATCTCTGGTAAACAGAGATCACTGATGAGAAAAGTTCTAAACCATGAAGATGCATCTGAAAGAAAAGCATGTAACTCAACATACAGTTACACATTCAAGAAAGTATAAGAAATGCAATTTGTAGAAGGTATAAAATACAACAGATAAACCCACCTAGTAATCTGAGGTTAAAACAGAGTTACAAGAGAAATATCTCAACCCCTCAGAAAAGGGGGAAAGATGTTCACGGCAATGACAGGAAAAATATGAGACTTTCAGTTCTTAAATGAAGAAAAAATATCAGCAGAGACCTGGTTATCAGAGCAATGCCAGCCTGAGACAGAAGATGCTTACTGAAAATTAAAATAAGGAATAAAGTGGTTAAAAAGTATTTTGAAAAGACCGCTTTGGGCAAATCAGCAGGGCCGTATGACATACTTCGAAGAGTACTTAAGGAATGGCAGGTGTTATTACATAGCTGCTAGCAATTATTTTTAAGAACTCAAGAGAATAAAGAAAGTCCCTGTAGATTGAAAAAGGGTAAATGAAGTGCTCATCTTTTTAAAAAGGGAAAAAGGACAATCCTGATAATTATAGACCTGTCAGCTTAACTTCAATATCAGGGAAAATATGGAACTTAACATCAATCAGTTAGCATCAACTTGAAAAGCACAGAGTAATGGGTGGAAACCAATGTGACTTTTCAAAAGTAAATCATGCCAGGCCAATTAATTTCCTTCTGTGATCGAGTGGCCACATAGGCACAAATGAAGCAACAGCTATAATTTTTTTTTACCATAAGTAGACTAAAATGTTGACTAAATATGGGAACAGATTCCTACAGGTGGCCAGTGCTCTCCATCTTTTAAAACAGTTGAGGTATGCCCTGGCTGGCAAGACTCAGTGGACTGAGCACCAGCCTACAAACCAAAAGGTCACCAGCTAGATTGCTGGTTGGGGCACATGCCCGGGTTGTGAGCCAGGTCCCCAGATGGGAGCATGTGAGAGGCAGTCAATCAATATTTCTCTTCTTCTCTTCCTCCTGTCCCCTCTCTCTAAAAATAATACATACATACATACATACATACAGTTGAGGTTTGGATAGAAATCTGAAAAACACAGTTGGACCAGATGGCCTCCAGAATCATCTCTAACTCTCAATAGTCATTCTAAGAATTAATCTGACTTTCATTAAATCATTTCCAACTTGCTCATTTTCTCCAGATCTTAGTTTAAAAGCCAAAGAAGAACCTAATAAAATGCCTGTCTTCATTAGAAAGAAAACTTTTTAAAAAGAAGACAAAGAAGCAATAGGAAATGCATTAATGCCTTTATGATATTGCTCTTTGGCACATATAAGTGATATATAGGCTTAATCCATAGCATGTCATTTTCTGTTCATTTAGAATTAAGAAAAATAATCTTCTGAATACCTAAGGATAAATATGTAGAAATTTAATAGGTCTCAAATAGGTCTAGGAATTTCTCCAAGTCTTTGAAATTTTATTCCTCTAAACTCACAGGTAGCTATAGTGTGCAAATATTTTCTGTCTGTCTTCTCTGTCTGGGGCATTATGGGTGAAATAAACTTCCAGGAGAGCCAGAAAGAGTAAATCAGATTGAACCTACACAATCAGCTGTAAACTTTCTGATTCTGAGCTGTACTAAGTATCCCTTGTCTGTGCTGCCCCCATCTACTGTCACTGGAAAGGATTTTCTTCTGGGTCTCAGCTCTTACTTAATCAATTTCATTAAAATCCCATCTCTCCAATTACTCAGACCAAAACTTTAGAGTTATCTTGCCTTGGATGACCATCATCTCCCACCATCACACAACTAACACGGTAGCAATTCTCGTGGGCTCTACTTTCAAAATATATCTAGAATCCAACCATTTCTTCCACCTTGGTACCATCATCTTCCTCATTCTCATCCTTGCAGTAGCCTTCTGGCTGGTTTCCCTGCTTCTGCCTCCCTAGAGTTGATTTCCAACAGAGCAGCATGTCCTTTGTAACATCTAAAGGAGATCAGGTCATTCTCCTCCACTCTGTATCCTCCAGTGGTCTTGCATCTCCCTGAAAAGAAAAGTTAAAAGTCTTTAGAATGGTATATGTTGCCCTAGAGAACCTCATCTTCCTTTCCTTTTATTTCACCTGGTACCACTCTCCCCTTTACTCTCTCTGCTTCAGCCAGAACTAGTGACTCCTCAAACATCTCTGGGCTCCTCTCACCTCCAGGCCTACCACTTGCTGTTTTCTCTCCCTGAAGTGTTCTTGCTGTAGACTCCCACCAGGCTCCTTCCCTGTCTCCCTCAAGTCTTGGCTCAAATGTCACCTTCTCAATGAGGTCCTCCAAGAAAACACTTAATTCAGAATTACAGTTTTCTTCATCCTGCCATTCCTCCTCTCCCTCCCCTACTTCACTCTCTTCCATAGCACTTTGTTCTTTTAATACACTACATAATTTACTTGTTTGATTCTCTCTTCCTCTCTCTTTCTTTCCCTCTCTTTCTCTCCCTCCCTACTCCCATTAGGTGCAAATGACATAAAGGCAGAAATTCTATATGTTTTATAAACTTCTGTATCCCCATTACCTAGTACAGTGCTCAGCATATAGTAGGTATACCATAATATTTGCTGAACAAATTAATAAAAATATAATATCCATACAACAGCTACTATGTTAATATTCATAGCAGCATTATTTATAATAGCCCCAAACCAAAACAATCCAAATATTCATTCACTGGTGAGCAGATGAACAAAACATGGTATATTCATACTATTTAGCAATACAAAAAACAGAATACTGGTTCTTGCTAAAACCTGGATGAACCTCAAAAACATTAAACTAAGTAAAAGAAAACATACACAATAGATGACATTTCATACAATTGCATTTATACAAAATGTCTGAAAGGGTAAATCCATAGAGGCAGAAAGCAGATTAGTGGTTGCCTAGAGCTGAGGGTAGAAATACTCACTGAGGAGTGACCAATGGGCATGAGGGGGTATTTTGAGGTGATGGAAATGTTCTAAAACTGGGTTGTGATAATGATCATACAACTCCATATTGCTACAAATCATTAAATTGCACAATTACAATGGTTGAATTTTATGATATCTGAAGTATATCTCAATCAAACTGTTTTTAAAAAAACAGCTACTTTTTTCTAAGTCTGAAAGTATTCCACTAATGAGCCAAGGCTACATGCTCAAATTCTTGGGAACCAATGTGAATGCTCATTCTCTATGTTAGTTACTTCTCCCTTTCAATACCTAGCTGTGTATGAATCTCTAATCTAGGCCCTCTAGGTGCAGACATGGCCCCTGCCCTCCAGGAATTTATAATCTACTTACCATATGAGATACACAAAGATCACTACGCTGCAAGGCAGAATGTGAAATGCCACGTTAAGGACATGCCAGTAAAGTCTATGGTGTTGATGCAGACATCTTTGCAGGGAAAATAGGAAGGAGAGCAGGATTTGGATAGTGTTTTAAAGAACGAAAATGACAACAAGCAGAGAAAGGAGCTAAGGGCTACCCACAGGCCATCCTCATCATCCACCTCTCTTCCATATATCATCAAGCATGTTGGGCAAGAAAATATAGATACATCAGTGCAAATATCTCAGTTGTTCTAGAGTAACAATTCAGGGATATATCCTACCAGCAAAATACTTGATGCAAAGTAGGTGTTCAACATATGTTTATTGAAGGAATGAATGAAAGTGTAGGATGGGTCTAGAAGCATTTCAGGGGAATTGTGGGTTGGCAAGGAGATCTCTCTCTCTCTCTCTCTCTCTCTCTCTCTCTCCCTCCCTCTCTCCCTCCCTCCCTCCCTTTCTCTCTGCCTTTCTCTGACATACACACACACACATACACACACTCACCCAACATCTGCAAGGTTACATCTTCCATTGGGAGGAGGGACAGAGACAGGCCTGAACAGTATCTCTGCCCCCCATTTCCCACCATCCAGAAACCTGTTTTCTTAAAAGCTTGCCCAGGAGTTTACCCTTTGATCTAGGCATTATTAATAGTTGAGATTAGTTCAAGAACCGTGACCAGAAATCCATTACCTTCCAGGTCAGTTGTGTTATCTTTATAGGTGAAGACAAAACATAAACATATTATCACATATATCTTTATACTATTCTTTAGGTCCTTCATGTGTACTTTTCTTCTGCCTAAATAAGATGAATGGTAGATCTAAATAGTCAGAACAAACTATGGTTTTATTTCTTCTTTTAAATCCTTCTTATAGAGTGGAAATATGAAGTGATGTTTCATTGTGAATAAAGTGAAATGTTTAATAAGTGCTCTGTAGATGAAAAGATAAAAGAATAGTTAGATGGATATGAATAGTAAATGTAAATGGTGGAACAAATGAAAAAAATTAAAGAATGAATGCATACTTAGCAGTATTCTAACGCCTTGTCTGTATATTTGATTTCAGTTGCAGAATAAAAAGCAAGCATTAGCATTCGAGGAATCACAGATGGAGTTTGGGTCCAGTAAACAGTGCCATCTGAGACAGCTCCAACAACTCAAGAAAAAATTGCTGGCCCTTCAACAAGAACTGGAGTTTCGCACAGAGGAGTTACAGACTTCTTACTGTTCCCTCCTGCAGTATCAGTCTGTCCTAGAGAAGCAGACTTCTGACCTGGTTCTTCTTCACCATCACTGCAAACTGAAAGAAGATGAGGTATAGATAGACATACTTTGGAAATGTCTCATGTGCCCATGTACCTACAGAAATCAGACCAAGCCTACTAGGAAGCAAACATTGGAGTTACAGAGGGGAGCTTTGCAACATCTCAAGCAGGTTTTATCAGCTTTCCCTCTTTAATTCTTTTTTTAAAATTTTTTTATTGATTATGCTGTTACAGTTGTTCTATTCCCCCCTTCATTCCCCTCCACCCTACACCCCCATCCCCACCATTACCCCCCCTTTAGTTTATGACCATGTGTCTCAATTCCTTTAGATTCTATATTTCCCATGCTATTCTTGCCCCCCCATCTACTTTCTATCTACTGTCTGTGCTACTTATTTTCTGTACCTTCTCCCCCCTTCTCCTCCTCCCACTCCCCTGTTGCTAACCCTCCTTGAGATCTTCATTTCTATGTTTCCACTCCTGATCTAGCTGTCCTTTTAGTTTGCTTTTGTTTTAGGTGTGGTTGTTAATAACTGTGAGTTTGTTGTCCTTTCACTGTTCATGTTCCTTTAACTTCCTTTTCTTAGATAAGTCCCTTTAACATTTCATATAATAAGGGCTTGGTGATGATGAACTCCTTGAATTTGATCTTATCTGAGAAGCACTTTATCTGTCCTTCCATTCTAAATGAAAGTTTTGCTGGATAGAGCAATCTTGGTTGTAGGTCTTTGGATTTCATGACTTGGAATACCTCTTTCCAGCCCCTTCTTGCCTGTACAGGTCTCTTTTTGTGTTGCGTTTTGGCCCTGTGGCTGGCCTGGGCTTCCGGGGTTGGTGAGAAATCCGCTGACAGTCTGATGGGGACTCCTTTGTAGGTGACTGTCCCCTTAGCTCTTGCTGCTTCTAGGATTCTCTCCTTCATTTTAACCTTGGCTAATGTAATGACGGTGTGCCTTGGTGTGTTCCTTCTTGGGTCCAACTTCTTTGGGACTCTCTGAGCTTCCTGGATTTCCTGGAAGTCTATTTCCTTTGCCAGATTGGGGAAATTCTCCTTTATTATTTGTTCAAATAAGTTTTCCACTGGTGGCTGTTCCTTTCCCCCTTCTGGTACCCCTATAATTGGGATGTTGGAGCGTTTAAAGATGTCCTGGAGGTTCCTAAGACTCTCCTCATTTCTTTGAATTCTTGCTTCTTGACTCTTTTGTTTGGCCATTATTTGCTTTCTTCTGGTCCACTCCATTGATTTGAGTCCCAGTTTCCTTTTCACTGCTATTGGTGTCCTGTGCAATTCCATTCATTTCAATTAGTTTCGCCTTCATATATTTGTGTATTTTGTCGGTATAATCAACCAGTTCTGTGAGGATCCTGATCACCAGTGTTTTAAACTGTGCGTCTGAGAGTTTTGCTATTTCTTCATCGCTTAGATCTATGGGCTCTGGGGCTTTGAGATCTTGCGACATTTTTGGTCTGTTCTGGCCCTTTAAGTGTGAGAAGCAGTGCCTTGGACTCCCAGGTCTCTGGGTTGTGACGCTGTATGTGGGGGCGTGGCCAGAGCGGGGAAATGGCGACCCCCTCTGCTGTTTCTCACAGCTGGGTGAGGATTAGTGTCTTAGGTGGTTCACCTGGGCCGGGCCACTCAGAGTCGCTGGGTTATGACGCTGTATGTGGAGGTGGGGTCAGAGCGGGGAAATGGCGGCACTCTCCCTGCTGCTTGCCGCGGGGACCCGCCCGGCCCCAGTCCAACCGCCCACTCCCTTGCCTGTCCACCCTCGCACAAATGCGCGACCACAGTCAATACGCAGCACTGCTCCCCCACTGTCTCCGCCGCGGTCGCTCGCCTGGTGGCTCGCTCAGTCGCTCACTAGGTCCAACCCTGTCACTGGATTCCGCGCGTCTGGATTCCACGCCTGAGTCCGGCTGACCGAGACCTCCTGTGCAATCCCGCTTCACCAGCCGCTGGTTTCGCCCCTTACCGGTCAGGCTGAAGAATTTGTTGTTAACGGACTTCCAAAAAGTTCAATTTTCCGTGTTCTGGCTGTGTTTTCTGTTGCTAACATTTAGTTGTCTTTAAACTTGGTTGTGTGAGAAGGCACGGCACATCCACCTATGCCTCCATCTTGGCGGAAGTCTTTAATTCTTGATTTTTTTAAAACTGAGCAGAGAGAACTAAACAGAGTGGTGTAAGTTGGTGAGAGCTCCAGTATTAATACATGTGGGATATGTGATACATGTATGTGTGCACATGTGTGTGTGCCATATGTGTGAAGGACCATGGTTCCATTTTATTACCATTGTAATTTAAATTGCAAATGAGTCTAGGTCTCTGAGGGTTATAAAAAAGAGCATAAGGTCTATTAAATGAACCATTCTTAAAAAAACTAAGTTTTGATAATCTATAAATTCCTGGTATTGGCACAGTTGATAATATAACCAGATATTGAGTCTGAGTCAGTCATTGAGAATACTACATCAGTCATTTTGTTTGGATGGGAGTTTGAGATCATCTAGACTTATTTTAACTATATTCTGGACATTCATTTCTATGCACATTCCAGGGTTGTATTTTTTAAACCAAAGAGAGAATACCTATGGAATTACAAAGACCACAGCTATAAAAGAACTTAAACCAGTTGAGCAATGGCAGCATTAGCATCAGTAAAACCATGGGCTCTAAGTAATGAGACAGGCAGCCTCCCCTGGCATTTCTTCCTTTGTCTTTAAAGATAAATTTCCAAGGCCTATCTTGGATGGTGCTGGTGCTGTTGCTATGTAACTGTGCCCTGCTGCTTAAGGACTAGCTCCAGGGGCTTTCTGAGGGGCCTTAAAGAACACAGAATTTTTTAAAGGGAATATTATGGCCAATAAGAATTTGTTTAAAAGGGTTGGGTGGGAAAGGAACTGAAAAAGGATATCCTACAAAATACAATCTAAAACAAAACTGGTGAGCATAAATCATGGGGTAATAAAGCTAACACAGGACTGTTGTTGAAACTCAAAACTCACTATAATTTAAACAAGAGTCTAGCTTGGATAAAGTGGCCCTGAATTCGTTGTGATTCTATTTTGCTGCATATAACAGAAAACTCCCAACTAATAGCACTTAAATAAGATACTTTTTTTTCTATGACATATTAAAAAAAAAAGGTCTAGGACTGTTGTGGTACCTGTGTGTCATCAGGTACCAAGGGTTCTATCTTTTAGCTCTACCACCATCAGCTCAAGGCTTCCATTTTTTAGGTGGCTGCTGGAGCTCCAGCCATCACATCCTTGATTCAGATAATCAGGATGAGGTTGGGGAATGTGGAGAGAAAGGCAGACTCCTCCCTTTTAAGGACACTTCAAAAGCCCCACACACTTTTACTTTTGTATCAGTGGCCAGAGTTAGTCACGTGGCTACAGCTAAAGAGCCTAGAAAATGTGCTGTTTTAGTGAAGTACACTGCTGTCCCAAATAAAATCAAGGTGCTATTACTAATGAGGAAATGAAGAAGTGATACAACAAGTAGTAGTAGCAATAGCAGTCACTGATACAGATCCCAAACCAGGAAAACACTGGGAAAATTATTTTAGGCATTCTGCCAAACTCTCTCGATATTTATTGCTCAGAAGCATCAAACTTCTGCGTAAGGTTGGGTTTCCCAACAGAAGACCCCAAGACAAGGAGATAGATATAGGTAGTTAATTCAGGAAGTGATCCTAGGAAGCAAGTTAAGAAAGTAGAGAGTAAGTCAAAGAAGGACAGGGAGCCCAAAAAGAAAAGCTATTAAGACCCCTGTTGTAGACAGCTGGGGTTCAGTCGCTGGAGAACTCTGGGAGATGGTGTAGAATATACCCCAGTCATTGGTTGAGGACTGCATTGGGAGTATTAACTCCCCAGTACTTGTAACCTGCCTTGTGCTCCTGTGTGGGTGGGCCCCTAGGGCCAGAACATCTCTTAGACAGAGTTGAAGACGCCCGTGGCTGGAATGAATTTAGCATGCAAAGAATCAGTGAGTGCCGAGGGGATATGCACAGGCCACTGGCAGCTTCTATTATAAACATTTGAATATAAAATATTCCTTTTCTCTTTCTCCTTACCTAATAAACACTTCCAACTAAATGACCCTTTCCTAAGAAGAATCTTAAATGGCAGGCAGCAACTATAATGAGCTTAAACCAATAGAACATTGTTCTATTTTAATTCTGCACTGAACTATTTGAACCTAAGTTAAGGCTTCCTTGGCAATTCTTTGTTCTTAACTCCTTCCATACATGTAATTCAAGCCATACAATTTAGCACTCTCCACTATGTACAGTTGTTTGCTAATTTTAAATAATCTCTTCCCAAAATTGTCAGAGTTTATAAATTCTGAGTGAGGAGCCTATGTCATATAATATTATGTACCCCCTCAGCACACCAGACATTGCTCATGCGCATTCAATAAATATGTCAGTTGGTTGGCTAATTAACTGATTAGGAAGAAAAGGAATCTAAATAAAGATTGTACAAATCCCAGAGGAACTTCAGGTCATGTTCCCCCACTATCTCTAGGGAACTTTGCTGACGTGGACCTGTGTACACAAGGTGCTCTGCATTTTCTAAATTAGACCTCTAGAGAATACCTAGGAAAGAGAGAATGCTGGCATTTCAAGCCCTTAAAAAATGGAACTATACAAATTGATTCCTATTAATCAACTAACAAGTCTTTATGAAGGTCTTACTACATGCCAGGCCAAATGGAAAATAGATATGGCCCCTGCCTTTAGACGGTAAGAAGCTTATCTTCTAAATAGGATAACCTTTTTTATTTCCAATCATTAACAATCTGATATTATACATTATAGCTCGTAGATCTGTGCTGGGTCTGTCCTGTGTATCTGTTTTGTAAGATGAGTTAAGATATAAGACTCTTCTGCATGGAGTCTTAGAGCCACATTCTTTGCTCATTAGATGCTTCTGTGGGTTCAACATGGTTTCATTCCTGCACCAACAGGTGACTCTCTATGAGGAGGAAATTGGAAATCATACTGGGAGCACAGGGGAGAAGCTCCACTTGGCACAGGAGAAACTTGCCTTGGCCGGGGACAAGATTGTCTCCCTAGAAAGAAGCTTAAACCTCTACAGGGATAAATACCAGACTTCCCTAAGCAACATTGAATTACTGGAGTGCCAAGTGAAGATGTTGGAAGGGGAGCTCAGCGGGATTGTCAGTCAGGTAGGACTTAACCTAGGCCTCTCAAACCAGGAGGTCCCTGTAACAGTCCCAGCCTTCTCCACCAGGAACCCAGACCTTCAACCAGATGTCATTCCTTCCCTTGAATGACGAGGCCCTCAGCTTTGAACAACAAGCCTTCGTGTCCCCTTTACATTGTTCTTTAGGAATTTTGAGGCCCGTAATCAATATAAAAAGGCACCACTTCAAATAAGGCAGGAAGTGAATTACCAAACACATTCTCAAGTCTTTTTTTTTTATTATTATTTTTCAAGTACAGTTTTCTGTCATTCTCAAGTCTTTCATGTTCTCATGAGGGTCTGGTGAAAGGCTTCTCTAGGTCATAGGACTCATGCACATCATGACTTCAGGATCCAACAGGTGGAGAAAGACATGAAACATGAGAAAGAAAAGCCCAAATGCCTGAATTTGTTTTTTCCAGTTGCTTCTTTTTAGTTACACAAGTAACATTCAATACAATGATGTAGGCTCTCTAGACAGAATGTGGAACTCAAACGTGGAAGTCCACCTTCAGCCTCCTCCATGCCCCTCTTCCCCTTGGCAATCCCTTACGTAAGGTGTTGGGAATCTTCCCCAGCCTTTTGCTGTACAGTTACATATATAGTTAGGATTTTTTTTTACATAAATAGATCGTTTTATGAGTGTGATTCTACAACTTGCTTTTTAAATGTATCTTAATTTCTTTTAGTTACTACTTGTATTCTATAGCATGACTGTACCATCTACTGACGGGTTTGTCTATTACAAATAAGCTGTAAGGAACATTCTCATTTCTGTGAGGTAATTTCCTCAAGTGTGATTGCTGGACCACAGGATATGCTTATTTTTAATGTTTAAAGATACTTATAAAGTACATACCAGAAAGGTTCTACCCATTTTAACAGTAATAATTAAGGGAGTTTATTTCCTCCTACTCCATATATATTTCAGTCTGATGGATGGAAAAAAGTTTTTCTCAATTATAACTTTTATTTCTTTTCATTCTAAGAGTTTTGGATTCACTTCTTCCGATAGCAGACTCTGAAACAGATTAGCATGCAGGAAATTTTTGGAGAGAACTCTTAGTACCAACACCTGTGAAACAAAGGGGACAAAAGCAGGGTGAGGCAGAGGGAAAGCTGAGCTGTGATGCTGTCTCCACAAAGGCTCAGCCAACTCCATGGGAAGCTCTGGGGCTAGATGGTCCTTCAGAGTGGTCCTAAATTGGGAGGAAGGGGGCTGGCCTGTATACCTCCATGTTGATTGGATGTGAGCTATCCCCAGGAAGAGGGAAAAGTCTTCTTCTGCCCTAAGTAGTAGGTGATGCCTTGCTGAAGGGAGTTTGGGAAGCACATCACAATGACCACGACACTAACGAAGTATTGAACACTGTTCATGTGGACTTCTGTTTTAGGAATTACTTGTTTAAATCCTTAACCTATTTTTATTGGGTTGTTAGTCCTTTTTTTGTATTGATTTATAGGAGATTCTTAATATATTACAGGTAATAATGATTTATTACATGTATTACAAATATTTTCTCCTACTTGGTAGTTTTTCATTTTATTAATGGTGTTTTTCACCATAGAGATATTTTTAATCTTTATAGAATTGAAACTCCATCCTTCTCTATAGATTTTAGGTTGTATGTCTTACTTTAGGAAGGCTTTCTCTACCCCCACAATTACAAAAGATTGTCTTATATTTTATTTTAGTTCTTTCATAATTTTATATTTTTATGTTTTTATCTGTAGTCCATCTGGAAATTTTATTTATTTGTTTAGTTCTCATGTATATATAATAAGATAAGGCTATAATTTTAAGTTTATCAAAATGGATCTTCAGTTGCCCCAAATCTACTTATTGAATATCCCAACCTTCTCCAATAATGAAGGGCCAACCCAGCATACTGACCAGGTCTTCTATACCCATGGCTATTTCTGGACACTTTATTTCCTTTTATCTCTTGCCAGTTCCTGCACCAGGGTAAAAGTTATTTAGTGACCAAAAAAAGTGACATATGTTTTGATAGCTCCTTTTAGGGCAGACCCTACTTCTCTGTTCCTTGGCCATTTTTGTACACCTTTTCTAGGAAAAATTTAGATTTATGTTGACCTAATTTCAAATTATATGTTAATTTGGGAAAATTAGCATACCCTATAGAACATCACATGCTTCCACTTTTATTAAATTTTCTTTTGTATTCTTCAGGAAGATTTTACACTTTTCTTTATATATCTCACCTATTTCCTGCTATGTTTATTTCTAGATATATTATAGTTTTATTGGTTGTATGAGTGAGATCTTTTATTCACTTATTTTTTTACTAATTATTACTGATGTAGAAAAAAACTCTTATCCTGCCACCTTATTGAGCTCTTTTATCAGATTTTCAGTTGACTCTCTTGGATTTCTCCAAATTGCCTTCTTTTTCAACATTTGTACAACTTATTTTTCTTTTCTTTTTTTTAATATTGAGTTCTAAATTATTTATTTATTTATTTATTTATTGTATATTTTCCATTACCATTTAACCCCCTATACTCCCTCCCCCTACAATCATCACACTGTGTCCATGTCCAAGTCCTTTTTCCTTTTTGCTGAATCCCTCCCTGTAAACCTCATCCCACCAATAGCTGTCATCCTGTTCTCTATCTATGAGTCTATCTCTATTTTGCTGTTAGTTCAGTTTGTTCATTAGATTCCACATATAAGTGAAATCATTTGTCTTTCCCTGACTGGCTTATCTCACTTAATATAATGTCCATCCATACTGTTGTAAAGGGTAAAATTTTCTTTTTACAGTTGAGTAGTATGCCATTTGTAAATGTCCCATAGTTGTTTTATCCACTGATTTACTAATGGACACTTGGGTTGCTTTCAAATCTTGGTGATTGTAAATAATGTTGAAATGAACATAGGGATGCTTATGTTCTTTTGAATTAGAGTTTTGGGTTCCTTCAGATATATTTTCAGAAGTGGGATTGCTGGGTCAAAAGGCACATTCATTTTTAATTTTTTGAGGTATCTCCATACTGCTTTCCACAGTGGTTTCACCAGTCTGCATTCCCACCAACAGTACAAAACAGTGTCCTTTTCTCTATATCCTCACTAGCACTTGTTGTTTGTTAATTTATTGATGATAGTCATTCTGAATGAGGTGAATGAGGTGATATCTCATTGTTGTTTTAGTTTGCATTTCTCCTATGATTAGTGATGTTGTACATCTTTTCCTATGTCTATTGGCCATCAGTGTGCCCTCTTTGAATAAGCATCTATTCAGAGCCTTTGCCCATATTTTAATTGGGTTGTTTGATTTTTTGGTGTTGAGGTATGTTAGTTTTTTACAGATTTTGGATATTAACGCCTTATCAGATGTATTGGTGAATATGTTCTTCCATTCTGCAGGATGTCTTTTATTTTGTTGACAGTCTCCTTTGCTATACAAAAAACTTTTTAGTTTGATGTAGTCCCATTTGTTTATTTTTTCTTTTGTTTCCCTTGCCTGGGGAGATATATTTGATAAACTATTGCTATAAGCAATGTGTAAGATTTACTGTCTATATTTTTTCTAGGATTTTTATTTTTAGGTCTAATATTTGAGTCTTTAATCTATTTTGAATTTACTTTTGTGTGTAGTGTAAAGTGGTCTAGTTTTATTTTTCTGAATGTATTTGTTCAATTTTACCAATACCAGTTAATGAATAAACTATCTCTAGCCCATTGTATGTGCTTGCTTCCTCTGTCGAATTATTAATTGGCTAAAAGGTATGTATTTATTTCTAGCTCTCTATTCTGCTCCATTGAGCTATGTGTCTGTTTTTATGCCAGTACAATGCTGTTTTGATTACTATGGCCTTATAGTATAGTTTGATATTAGGTAATGTGATTCCTCTAACTTTATTCTTCTTTTTCAGGATTGCTGTTGCTATGCTTATGTTTCATCTTACTTCACTGACCAGGACCTCTAGAACATTATAAAATTTTAGCATACTTGCTTTGATACTTTAAATTAAATGTTTTGTAGTATTTCACCATTAAATATACTGTCTATTCTTGGCAGCTTGTTAATATCTTTTTTCAAGTTGAAAGTGTGACTGTCTATACAATGATTTTTATCAGGAATGCATGTTGAATTTAATCTGAAGTTTTTGTTAGCATCTTTCAAGGTAATTATAGAGTTTTTTCCTTTAATGAAGTAGATTACACTAATAGATTTTCATGTATAGGCTAATCCTTAGTTCCTGGATTCAATCCCACTTGAACATGACATTATTATTTTAATAATAATGTAGTACATCATTATATTATAATCAACTGCTATACTAAATTTGTTAAAATTTTATTTTTGCATTTATTTTCAGAAGTAAGATTAGTTTGATATTTCCAAATTTTGTGCTCTTATATCATTGGAGCCTAGATTATGCTGCCCTAAGATGACTTAGAAAGTGTTTATTTTTCTAACTATCTAGAACTGTTTATATAACATATAAATGTATAGTTCCTTAATATTATAAATAAAACCAACTTTTCTCATTACTCAGCAGTATGCTCCACCTCTTCTGCATTTTTATATTTTTCCTTTTGTTGTAATAATTCCCTGTTAATTCCTTCAGAAAGAATTGTGGGTGGTAAAATTTCTCAATATTTCCATGTCTGAATAAGATTTATTTTACTATCATTCTTTAACGCTAGTTTGGCTGGGTATACAAATTTTCAAAAGCACCTGCCTTTAAATCATTGAAGATATTATTGTGTTGTCTTTTACAGTGTTAAAAAGGAATTTTTAGATCTCAATCTGTTTGTCATTTTTTTTAAGTTAACTGTTTTATCTTTGAATTCTGTAAGTTTTTAGACTCAGGGCTTTTTAATTTACTTTTCATTAAGCCTCTCAGCACTTAACTGATCCTTTGAATTTGAAAATGTACATTTTTCTGCAACTCAGGAAATTTTGCTTGTTACTTTAAATTAATTTTTATTTTTAATACTGTAGCATTAAGGAAATATTGGGACCTGTAGATAGCTTCTTCCTGTTTCTTAACTTTTCTACTGTTTTTTATTCCTCTGCCCACTTACACACTAAATTATTTATAAGAACATTATTTATGGCCAATTTTAGACTTATGACTCACCCTCCTAGAGCTTGCTCATGGCAGCTTTCATGCTCAGTGAACATGAGCTATTTCTAACTTTGCCCAGAAAAGCCTAGTTAGGGAAATTAATTTAATGGAGAAAGGACCTACCATATGAACTAGAACAATTTGCTCTTTTGTTGATTATCTGCATCAGTTCCCCGTATTATTAGTACAGACCAATGAGCAGGTAGTAATCTTCATGTATGATTTCAGATGATCTGGGAAAAGACATTTAAAAAATGATTCTAGGAGAACAGGCATACACAAACTGATGACAATGTCAATTGGTACAATTTCTTAGAACAATTGTGTAGTATCTACCAAAGTTTTAAGTATGTCCTAGCAGTCCTACTTGTATTAATTTAATCTACACATATACCAGAAAGGGAATTCAAAGACTTATATGCCAAAATATTCAGGTTCTCTTTAGGAAAAAGAAACTGGACAACAACCTACCATATTTTGCCATGTATAACACAACTTGTTTGCCCAAATTTTTCAGGAAAAAATAAGGATGCACATTATTCATGGGTAGTACTAATTCTGTATCTATATAAATGTTTTTAACTCTTTTATTTATTTATGCATTAAAAGTATAACTCTAGAAAACAATAATGATATCCACATGCAAAACAATACTCTGGAATACAATAATTGGTCTTCTTAATGAATATAAATAAATAAAAAATTGAATTAAAACAGAAGATGTTTTCCCTGAAATTTTGGGCCAAAAATGTGGATGTACATTATAAACAACAAAATACAATATATTTTCATTAGTAGGATACTAGATAAACACATTTAAAAGGAATTTAACAGAACAAGATACAAGCACATGTACTTACATGGATAAACTTCTAAGACATCTTGTTAAGTGACAAAATCTATTTTTAAGTTTTTAAAAGACAACATAATATCTGCACTCTATAGTTTCATTTGTATGTATGTAAATGTATAGATAAAGTTCTAGGAGGCTATGCACAAATGGTCATCTCTGGAGAATGCAATAAGTATAGGCTTAGAGAAGGTGTTCAAAGAGAAATTGTAACATTACAAACTTTAAAAGCATACTATCTACCTGTATTTTCCATTTGAAGTTACTTTTAAAAGAAGATTGATCTACAAGTAACAACATGGAAAATACCCTAAATAAATTATCAGGTGAAAACATAATTTATGATAGTGTGTACAAGACTTTCATATGTGTAGGCAAAAAAATTGGGGGATTATATACCACATATATTTCTGAAGAGATACCCCAAAGACTAGAAACAAGGACTGTGATGGAGAAGGGGACCTGAGGGCCAAGATGGAAGAAGACTGACTTTTCATTATTCTCTCATGAGCTGTTTAAACTTTATACCATGTGCAGACACTTGCTGATTTTTCTTTTGTTAAGAAAGTTATGATTCACATATATGAGCATGAACTTTTAGAGTAGAGGTCTAGAGATTTTTCATGATCACAGCATTCTTAGTACAATAATTATAAACAAAACCACCCACTATTTTTAAATATCCCAGGAACCTGAGAGCAAGGGTGATCACTCAAAGGTGCGTATATACACTTCTCCCTGCGTGATTCAAGAGCATCAAGAAACTCTGAAACGACTGTCTGAAGTCTGGCAAAAGATCTCTGAACAGGATGATCTGATCCAGGAACTTCGGAATAAGCTAGCCTGCAGTAATGCTTTGGTAAGTGCCTATTTCTAGAACACTTTTCTGAGACCCAAAAGAGAAAAGAAAGGGGGTAAAAGAGTCGCCTAAAGTAATCTTTTTCAGGACTCTTTATTGTCTTAAATAAACTTGTCTCTGCTTTTTATTTATATTCTCCATGGTATGCATCCTCCCCACTACACTTAGTTCAAGACTGTAAAGAAACTTAAAATCTTTCACACAACAACATAAGTGCCCATCAAGAGGGAAAGTGTTAAAGAGATATGGGTATTCTGTGGAATAATATGCAACCAAGCAAATGGATTAAGCTGATCTATAAGGGCTACATGGAAGGATGCTTGTGATATATTGTTGAGAATAAGTTGCAGAATCCTATATGTAGTTCCACTTTTATTTTGTCTTTAATCATGATATAGAAGTATAAACTGGAAATTAGCCATGTGTCCCCTCACCCTTAGGGGAAATGAAAGGGGGAAGAATAAATGGAGAGGAAATTTTCACTTCTTGTTACCAACACTTGGGTTTTATTTGAATTATTCTCAACAAACAACAAAAATTTCAACCTCCAGCCAAGACTGAGGTATAGGCAGATACACTTTACCTCCTCAAACAACCTAAAGAAGGACAACAACAAATTTAAAAAAAAAAAAAATAACTGAAACTGACAGAAAGTTGAACTTTATTTAAAGAAGAAACATTCATCCAGACCCGTTGGAGGGGTGGAGACAGGCAGCCAGGGCAGAGAGGATGCCTGGCATAGCGGTGGCTAGAGAACTGGGTGGGCGAGGCAACAGCTGGCAGTCCCAAATCTGCATGCAGATAAACCAGGGGGAACAACTGGGGAGTGAGACTGTGCCATCCAGGGAAAAGAAAGCCACAAAGACCTTTGGCTGTAAAAACTGTGGGGGCTGCGGCAGCAGGAAAAACTTCCAACCCCACAGGAGAATTAGTTGGAGAGACCCATAGGATCCTAGAATGTGCACAAACCTATTCACCCAGGAATCAGCACCAAAAGGGCCCAAATTGCTTGTGGGTAGGGGGCAAAATGACTTAAAGCCAAGCAAGCATCGTTGTTCCCTGTCAGACCCCTCCCCCACATGCAGCATCACAAGTAATGACATGGGTTTCGCCCCCTGGTAAATACATAAGGCTCCACCCCTTACAATGTAGCGGGTGCATCAAGGCAAAGAAATATGGCCCAAATGAAAGAACAGATCAAAGCTCCAAAAACAGAACTAAGTGATGAAGATATAGCCATCCTATCAGGTGCAGAGTTCAAAACACTGGTAATTAGGATGCTCACAGAAATGGTTGAGTATGGTGGCAAAATGGAAAAGTGAAGGCTATACAAAGTGAAATAAAGAAAAATATACAGGGAACCAACAGTGAAGGGAAGGACTCAAATTGATGGTTTGGACAAGAAGGAAGAAATAAACATTCAACCAGAACAGAATGAAGAAACAAGAATTCAAAAAACAACCAACTGTATGGGAAAACATATTTGCCAATGATGCCTCAGACAAAGGTTTAATCTCCAAAATATATAAAAAAACTCACACAACTGCACTCTAAGAAGTTGTCTAAGAAGACAACTAACCCAATTTAAAAATGGGAAAAGGACTTGAACAGACACTTCTCCAAGGAAGACATACAGAAGATCCAGAGACACATGAAAAGATGCTCAATATCACTAGCTATCAGAGAGATGCAAATTAAAACCACAATGAGATACCACTTTATACCATTCAGGATGGCTACCATAAACAAAGCAACAAACAACAAATGTTGGAGAGGTTGTGGGGAAAAGGGAACCTTAGTTCACTGTTAGTGGGATTGCAGACTGGTACAACCATTATGGAAAACAGTATGGAATTTTCTCAGAAAAATAAAAATTGACCTTCCTTTTGACCCAGCAATTCCACTGCTAGGATTATATCCTAAGAATCCTAAAACACCAATCCAAAAGAACCTATGCACCACAATGTTCATAGCAGCACAATTTACAATAGTCAAGAGCTGGAAGCACCCTAGGTGCCCATCAGTAAATGAATGGATCAAAAAATTGTGATACATATACGCAATGGAATTCTATGCAGCAGAGAGAAAGAAGGAGCTACTACCCTTTGCAACAACATGGATGGAACTGGAAAGCATTGTGCTGAGTGAAATAAGCCAGGTGTTAAAAGATAAATACCACATGATCTCACCTTTAACAGGAAGCTAAACAACAAAACAAATAAGCAAGCAAAATAAAAACAAAGACACTGAAATAGCGAACAAGGGGACAGTGACCAGAGGGAAGAGGGGAGGGAATTTAAGGGGGAAAAATGGGAGGGATTTAAAGGAACAAGTATAAAGAACACAGGGACAATAACTGAGGGGGGTGGAAATGGGAGGGAGGTGGGGAGCACGGGGCGGGGTGGGTTGAGATGGGAGAAAGAGACAGAAAACTGTACTTGAAAAATAACTAAATAAAAAAATACAGATTTTTTAAAAAATGAGGAGAGGCTTAGGAACCTCTGTTTAAATGTTCCAACATCTGAATCATAGGGTGGCCAGAAGGAGAAGAGGAAGAGCAAGAAATTGAAAACTTATTTGAAAAAATAATGAAGGAAAACTTCCCTAATCTAGCAAAGGAAATAGACTTCCAGGAAGCCCAAGAAACTCAGAGTCCCCAAGAAGTTGGACCCAAGGAAGCACACACCAAGGCACATCATTATTAAGTTACCCAAGATTAAAGATAAGGAGAGAATCTTCAAAGCAGCAAGAGAAAAGGAGACAGTTACTTACAAAGGAGTTCCCATAAGACTATCAGCTCGCGGGCCTGCGAACCAGAGTATCGCGGTTCGATTCCCAGTCAGGGCACATGCCTGGGTTGCAGGCCAGTTCCCAGCAGGGGACTCATGAGAGGCAACCATACATTGATATTTCTCTCCCACTCTTTCTCCTTCCCTTCCCCTCTCTCGAAAAATAAATAAATAAAATATTTAAAAAAAAAAAAAAGACTGTCAGCTGACTTCTCAAAAGACACCTTTCAGGCTAGAAAGGGCTGGAAAGTATTCCAAGTAATGAAAGGCAAGGACCTATACCCAAGATGACTCTATCCAGCAAAGCTACCATTTAGAATGGAAGGACAGATAAAGGGCTTCCCAGATAAGGTCAAGTTAAAAGAGTTCACCATCACCAAGCCCTTATTACAAGAAATGTTAAAGAGACTTATCTAAGAAAAAGAAGATAAAAAATACAAACAGTAAAATGAAAACAAATTCACAACTATCAACAACTGAACCTAAAAAAAGAAAAACAACAAACTAAGCAAACAACTAAAACAGAAACAGAATCATGGAAATGGAGATCACATGGAGGGATATTAGCAAGGAGGGGAGGAGGAGAATGTGGGAAAAGGTACAGGGAAGAAGAAGCATAAATGGTAGGTACAAAATAGAGGGAAGTTAAGAATAGTATGGGAAATGGGGAAGCCAAAGAACTTACATGTACAACCCATGGACATAAGAAGAGGGGGAATGCTGGTGTTGGGGGGCATAAAGGGGAGAAAAAATGGAACAACTATAATAGCATAATCAATAAAATATATTTTTATAATTTTTCATGTTTTTAATTTAAAAAATATACATACACATTTGCTCATTCCATAAAGAACTTTCCTCTTTAATTCTTGAACTTTGAACCACATCTTCTGGTAGATTAAGTGCATATTTCCTAATGTCACAGCCTCCAGAGAACCTTCATCTGCCTAAGAAACTGGACCACACAGAGGTTCAGGAGGGAGTCCAAAATGTGTCCACTGACAAACTCAAAACAAATCATTGTCTATGGCTTAGTGAACCTTGATGTAAGATTCAGAACATAATTCCTTCCTCATACCAACCCCACAGGAAGTATGAGATTAATTATACAATGTTCAGACAGACTTAGGATGATAAAAGGAACACCCTTCTAAAATAGTGGTAGTAATAAAGATATTACATTGATCATGCAGCATAACCGACCTGCGTTCAATTGCAGGTTCTAGAGCGTGAAGAGGCTTTGATAAAATTACAAGCAGACTTTGCTTCTTATACAGCCACCCACCGACATCCTCCTAGCTCCTCAGAAGATTGTGAAGACATCAAAAAGGTGGGAAAACTTTTGCTTATTTGTGCCCGGTGGGCCATCCAATTTGGGTTTGATTCTGGGTTTTCCTGCTTATTTTTAATTTTTATATTATATTTTATATCTGTGTAGTCTTGGTTGGCCCTGCTCTGTGGATACTGTATATAATGTATCCAAGTCCCAACAAGAGTGTCTGCCAGCATTAGGTTTTGGAATAGCCCCTGTCCCTTTATGCAGTTCCAACAGTGAACCTACACAAGGTAGAGGCTTGCTGGATTCAGAATGACCATTCCAGCCTTCTAGTTTCTGGTTGGAGTTGAAAAGCACCAAATTTAGGGAAGATTATTAATTCAAATTCATCACTCTTTTGAAAACCTGATGTTACAAAATTTCAAGGCATCTCAAAAGTAGATTCTCATACCGTATAAGCATTTAAGCCATGTAAACAAATAGCAAGATTTGACCAACCAGTAGTCAAGACTAGGTTAGGTCCTCTCCTAGGTGAGTCGTGGCTGAACTTGAGGTACAAGGCAAAGCTGGACACATGAGGCCATGCTGTGGGCATGTGAGAGCAGCCTGCTGATGGTGAAATAGGAGCAACAGGGGTGGCAGAGAGTGCAGACAGCACCTACAGCTCTCCAAGGAGTTCTCTAGCAGAGGAGCAAAGTCTTTCTGATCCCAGAAAGTTTGAATGAATAAGCGATCGATATTGAACTTTGGAGTTTCCTCCATGGACATCTGTCAATATTTATTTTAAAGGTCAGTTCCATGTTATTCACATCCTGACCTACAGCAAGATCTCATAACACTCCCTTTTCATTTTTGTCTGAAAAATGTCTTTATTTCTCCCTATTTCATTTTATAGTAGTTTTTAAAAAACCACGACATTAAATTTACCATCTTAACCACTTTTAAGTATATAGCTCATCCATGTTAACTATATTAACATAGATGTGTAACAAATCTCTAGAACTTTTTCATCTTGCAAAACTGAAAACCATGTACACTAAACCCTAATTCCTTTTTTAACACTCTATTTTTAAAAAGTGATATAGACTATCCCAAGAAACCTTCCCCTGCCATTTTTGTGTATCCTATCCAAAACCTTCATGTTAGCGCAATATTCTATTAGGAATGGAACCATTTACATCTCAGTTAATACCGGCAGTCCTCTCCCTGCTCTGCTGGCCTGGCATATACTGGGCCTTTGAGTCCCTGCAGTGCCCACCTGAGTCATGTGGAGACTGCCCTGCATTTCTCCAGCTGTCCCATCTTCATGCCACACTCACCATCTACACTGAAATCACACAAATAACTCCTCCCAGACTCCTTTGATGCCCAGATACCTAATTGCTCCTCCTTTACCATGGGTTCATGCTCCTTCCTTCTCTTGGTTACAGCCCATTTTCCTCTCCTTCAGGGTAGAAGCCAAAGTTCTTGCCAAAGGACTACAAGCCATAACTGACCCAACTTCCTCACCTCATCTCTTGCTACTCTCCTCTTCACTGGCTCCACTGTAACCACATGGTCTCCTCTACGTTCCCTCTCTGGGGCCTTGTCACTGGCTACAAAGTTCTTCCCTCAGATACCTCCAGCAAGTCCCTGCATAGAGGCCACCTTCCCAGTGAGGCCAACCGATCCATCCCATTTAATATCGCAACCCCACATACCTGCCCCTGCCCTTGCCCTTGCCCCATCACCTCCACTCCCCTCTTACTGTTCTTTTTCTTCCACAGCAATTACCAATTTTTACCATTTTTTACTGTATAAGTCACTACTTATTATGCTCTTTGTCTGTCTCACCCTACTAGAAGGTCAGCTCCATGGGGGCAAGGATTTATGTCTGCATTGTTTGCAGCACTTAGGACAGTTTCTGGCACACAGTAGGCGCTCCATCAAGGACACTGATTGTTGCAGGGAAAAAGAAGTGGCTTCTTTTGTGCACATTCAATGTGAGTGTGAGAAGTCTTCCATATCCCTTTTTAAATTTTTTTAATAGCCATGTAATGGACAGGCCATAAAATACCTCATTTACAGTGTACAATCAGTGGCTTTTAGTATATTCACAGAGTTGGGCAACATCACCACTAATTCCAGAACATTTTCATCACTCCAAAAAGAAACCTGTATCCATGAGGAGTCACTCTCAATTCCCCCAACCCCCACCACCACCCTGGCAACCACTAGTCAACTTTGCACCCTACAGATTTGCCTGTTCTGGACATTCAGGATTTTGGAAAGCATTCTTCCCCCTTGTTCTCACCCTGCCCTGCTCTCCTTCTGTCTGCCCAGATCTTGAAGCACCTACAGGAGCAGAAGGACAGCCAGTGCCTGCATGTGGAGGAATACCAGAACCTCGTGAAGGACTTGCGCATGGAGCTTGAGGCCGTGTCAGAACAGAAGAAAAACATCATGAAGGGTACACTGTGGGCTGGTGGTTGTGGCATGGAGAGGCAGGGATCCAGAAGGAAGTCGGGACCTACCTCTAAGCAAGAGTACTCTGTGTCGTGCCACTGTAGAAATGATGAAATTGGAGCTGGACCTGCACGGGCTGCGGGAGGAGACATCTGCCCATTTGGAGAGGAAGGAGAAGGAATCCATGATCCTGCAGCACCGGCTGCAGGAGCTGCAGATGCAGGTCACTGAGACCCAAAAGCTGGGTTTGAAGAAAGACACGGTAAGGCAGTAAGGCTAGGCGTTCTCTTGTTGGAACTGCCAATAAGGCAGGTGTGAGGCCCAGCCCTGCCCAGATGGAGCAGGTTCAGCAGTTCTGCACCCACTGTGATAGCTTGAAGAGCATCAACACAGGTGCAACAGGACCGTGGGCTCTTGAGACCCAGAGATGATTCTGAGTACTTACCTCTTTGGTAGTTCTCATAGCACATAATAAATATATAAAACAGCCCGATCCAGGGACCTTAATAGATAAATTGACTCTAGAAGAGGTTTTTTCCCCAGCCCTGCAAGGTAGAGAGTTGGGACACACTTGTGTCATCCCCTTATGCTTTTGTTCATGGTTGGTAGTGGAAAGATACTATAAAGTAATGTGTAGCCCTGGCTGGTGTGTCTCAGTGGATTGAGTGCCAGCCTAAGGCTTGCTGGTTCGATTCCCAGTCAGGGCACATGCCTAGGTTACAGGCCAGATCCCCAGTAGGGGGCGTGTGAGGGGCAATTACACATTGATGTTTCTGTTCTCTTTCTCCCTCCCTGCTCCCTCTCTAAAAATAAATTAATTAAATGTTTAAAAATAATAATGTGTAGCCTTATTAAGAGTATGAAGTGAATTTCAACTTTAAAAATTACAAATATCTTAGAATATGCAAATCGGGCAGTTTGAAAATATTAATGGAGCTATGTACTAGAAGATCTGTAGTTGCCAACATAAATGAATGTCCTGGAAAAGCCTAGGAATGAAGCCAAGGACAGAAAGTTTGTGAAACTAATGCAAACTTTTGTAGCTAGTACTATCCAACTCTAAATTTTTCATAGAGCTAGGAGAAATTATCCAATTGGTTGACTGGTTATTCCTACCTCCTATTTCAAGGTACAGAGGTGATCCATCAGTCAAAATAGAGGCAGTTGGAGAAGATGTCAACACAAAGCAAGGAGTCTGGATAAACAGCTCTGAGTCATTCATATATCCATCCAACAAATATTTTTGAGCTCCTAAGATATGCCAAGCACTGTTGTAGGCACTACAAATATTATAGAATTGTACACCTGAAACTTATAAAATTTTATTAACCAATGTCACCCCAATAAATTTAATTTTTAAAAAACCTTTTTAAAAGAATATAATAAAATATGCAATACCCCTACTCTCACAGAACCTACATTCTAGTGTGGGCAGACAGATAATGAATAACAAAATTAATATGTCATATAATTTCAGATATTGATAAATTCCTAAGATAGCTGTGTGGCTGTTTTACACAGGTTGGTCAGAGAAGGCCTCTTTGACAAGGTGACATTTGGGAAGAGATTTGAAGTAAGGAAGCTACCCAGGCCAAGGTCTTGAGGAAGAATATTCCAGGCAGAGGGAATAGCAAGGACAAAAGCCCTCTAGTGGGAGTCCACGTGGAGTGTTCCAGGAGACCAACGGAAGCAGAGAGGAATGGGGTAGCCAAGGATCAGATCAGATCACGAGCATCCTGGGAGGCCTTTCTCTAAGTGAGGTGGAGCCAGTGGAGGGTTTTGAGAAGAGGTATACAAGATCTGTCTTGCGATTTTAGAGGCCCCCCCTCAGGCTACTGCAGTGAGAACAAGGCTGAGGGGAGGCAGGAGCTAACGTAGGAGGCTATTGCAATATCCAGACAAGAGAAGACGGTGGCTATAAGCAGGCTCAGAACAGTCTCTGACTGACTGCCCTGCCTCTGTTCAGGCCTTTACTAGCATTAACACTTTGCTTTCCTCAGCTCCTCCAAGAGAAAGATGAAATGCTGCACGAGCTAGAGAAGGAACTGACACAGGTTCAGACAACACTCCTGAAAAAAGAGATGGAGTGGGAGAAGCAGCAACTAATCACAACAGAACTCGAAATCGCCATCCAGGAGGCGAATCAGGATAAGAGCAAGGAGGAGTGTGGGGCCCTGCGAGCCGAGATCCAGAAGTTGAAGGACATTCTCGAAGATGCCCAACAGCAGCAGAAGCTGGCTGGTGAGGGCTCAGCAGGCACTGTCATCACCACACTTCCGACACACGGGGCTAGAGCAGCCCTTTTCTCTCTGTGAACAGCCTCCCCGCTCCACCTCTCCACTTTCTCATTCCAAATCTTCCCACGGTCTCGTCTCACATCTCAGCAGTTACAACCACCTCTTACACTCCTCCACTCACCCTCAACCTCACCATCCCTCTGGAACCTTCACCACATAGCAGATGCTCAGTTTGGGAAAGTGAACTGCCTACTGTTCCCTCAGCAGTTCCGACAGAGATCCTCTCCCTTCTCTGCCACGGAGAGGACAGGTCTCTGTACTTTGTTTATTTGCACCACATTCCTCCCCATCTTCTACAGAACCTTTGTCACACATTTTATCTCTCCCTTTCCTGGTTTTTGACACTCTCTCCTTTCTTATTCCCTCCAAAAATTCTACTGCACAGCTTATACTATGGGGTGTGTCCTTGTTCCTCTGCTAACAACTGCTTTCTTGGAGGTCACCAATAACTTCTTGCCCTGGACACAGGGCAATGAAAGTGTTCTGGAATAGATACTGGTGATGGTTGCTCAAGTTCGTGAGTATGCCAGAAACCACTGAACTGTACGCTTTCAAGTTCTGTTGTCATTAGCTGCTGCTTCTCCAACTCCATCTCTGTTTTGGGAGAGTTGTCTGAACCTGTGTCAGGTTCTTCTTTAGCTCATGCAGCATTTCATCTTTCTTTTTATTTTACATGATATAGAAATTGGGGGGGACAGTGAAAGTTCTAAAGCCTTGCTCCCCTCCTTACCCTCCTCTGACTCTGTGTATCTATGCTGTCAGCCCCCATACCTCACAAGTGTTTCTTAGCTTTGGATACATAAGTCCCAGAAATATCATCATTGTTTCCCTCTGTTCTGATAGAATCATTCATCCCTAAGACTCTGCCCTCCTGCTCTTCTCATCTCCATGTACACTCATTCTTTAGTGAGCACCTTCCCTCCTCGGAGCTGCATTTCCCTGCAGATGACGCTAAAACCTGGGGCCCTGGTCCTGATTTCATGCCTGTGGTCAGTCTTGGCTTTAGAGACTACCTGCACCTGGGCAACCCACCTTCCCCTCTAACTCAGCATCCCCAATGAACCTATTCTCTTCCCTGCATCAGTTTTTTTTCTCCCTTTTTACAAGGTCTGTAATCATTTGCCTACCTTTCTTCCAGTATTCCAGGCTGAAAAAATGGTGAGGAGAGCAATGTTTAAAGTAGAAATGATGGTAGAAACCACTAGATGTGGGGACACAGTGGGCTTAGAGAAACTCCAATAAGCAACTCCTTTGGGTGTTTTTCCCTCATACCCACTGAAGGTGAGGACACAAGCTAAATGATCTTGTAGGAATTCTTTCTCTATTTTAATTTATTCCAATGTTCCTAAAGCACTCTTTCTTTTATGTCAGGTCCCTACTCAAGAGCCTACAAAATCAACTTCAAACCTTTCAGGCATTCATAGTCCTCCTTTAGTCCATGCACTTAGTTAGTGGCCTCCCAGAACTCCTATCCAGATTCCTTTCCAAGTAAACCCATCTCTTCCCATCTTCTTCCCACCTGACTTCCCTACTCCCTTACCAGGCATTTACTCTGTCCCCCCTCATCTGGAATTCCCTTCTTCTAAGGTGTAGCTCAGCCCCTTTTTCTCTGTGAGTCCAGCTCCAACTGTTCTTACATTGATCTTGCTTCCCAAGTTGACCATCATTGCAAGTTTAACATCACCGTGGTCTCTATACCAAGTGGGCCAGTATGGTTCCCTCACTAGACTCTAAACTCCAGAAGGATCAAGATGTGCCCCTAATGCCTGCATGAGTTGCACAAGGTACACTGAGCAATTGCTATCAATTCATTTAAGTTTAGCCAAGAAGGAGACCACAGCTGGAGGGTAGTTGAAGACAGATAATTTAACAGAGCTCCTTAGGAGTGATAATGAAATGGAGAGAAATGAGGACAGATTGGAAATTGAAGTAGGTCACACAATAAAGGAACAGACTTTTTAACTGGCCTGATTCAAGAATCTGATCTTCACACATACTCCCTTCTCACATGGTCATGCCCTAGCTTGTCTCCTGTCTTCTGCAGCTCAGCAAGCAGCCCAGTACAAAGAAGAGGCTGGTATGGCAAAGAATAACCTGGAGGATGCCCAGAAGAAACTGCAAAGCTGCATCCTCTCGGAGAAGCAGAAGGCAGACACCATCCAGGAGCTGCAGAGAGAACTTCAGAAGCTGCAGAAGGATTTCCTAATGGCTGAAGAGGAACTTACACTTAACAGGTACCACAGGCTCACATCCAGGGAGAGAGCCTTTCTCCCTGTCAGCCAGTCAGGACACTGTGGGCAGCTGCCAAGGACTGGGATAGCAAGCCCCGTGAGGCTAGCTCACAGTCCACCAACACCGACACCTATTGTTGCCAAGTCCATCCTCCTATTGTTGCCATTTTGCTTTAGGAAACGGATAGAGGAGCTGACATCAGAGCTCTCTGAGGTCCTGAGGAAGCTTGAAAATTCAGACAAGGAAAAGAAGCAGCTTCAGAAGACAGTGAATGAGCAGGATATAAAACTGAATGAACTGCTAGATCATGTAAAACTCCTTCAGCACCAGGTATGAAGGGCAAATACGCAGCCAGCTCAAGCATTGGCTCTGCTTAATATTAAATAAATTTGTCTTTATTTGAAAAGGTGCCGCTGCCAATTCATGGTGAACAGATTGTCCGGAATTTGTGTTTGAATGCAAAGCCAGCCAATCAGCTCTAGTTTGTACAGCCAATAATAAGCATTTTAAGCATTTTCATGAAAATGCTTAAGCTAAGTTTAAAAAGAATCAAAGGACAATGTGGTATTTTCTGGGATTCAAAAGCTATCCTTGTCAATTAATTTAAAGTCTTTGACCTCTGAATTATTCTTTTTATGTCTTTCTCAGATTTTTAAAACTTTATGCAAAAGGGTTTTATGTAGGAAGATTTGGTAAGTGGGAGAGAAGGTGATGCTGTTGAAACTAGATCTGTAAATAAAATAAATTGGTATATCTAAATGAACAAATTCAAAATCTGGGGCAATGTTGCTGAACATCAGAGGGAACATTTTTTATCACACATGCTAAATAACCAGGGAGTTGTCCTCATATTTATTTCAGCTATTCCCTGGGTACAGTTGTCTGAGTTTGTTTGTTTGTTTCTCCAAAAATATACAGTCCAAGGTCTTTCAGGTCAGTCTTTATTTTCTCAGGTCAGGGAGCTAACCTCCACCAAAAGCACTCTAGAGGTGGAGCTTAAGGAAGTAACGATGTTACTAGAGGAGAAACGGGAACAGTTGAAAAAGAGCAAAGAACAGGAGAAGCTGATGGAGGTAGAGATGGAGTCATTGCAACAGGAAGAAAGAAAGAAAGAAAAGACGGTGAGAAGGAGAATCTTGGAAGAGTCGGAGTCATAAATACAGGCCCAGACACGAGCCCAGGCAGACCTTGGTGGGATACAGAGGCTGTGGGTGCTCAGATCTGAGGAGAGGAGGGAGGGGGGGTGGGAAAGGCAAACGGGGAGGAGAGAGAAGGCCTAAGATAACACAGGGTGCAGAATGGAGCTGTGGGTGAGGGAAGGACGAATGGGGTTCTAAAGGAGTCTGAGGGTAACAGCTCTTTTCTGGCCTTTGTTCTTTAATTGGGGAACAGTCAAAAGAAACATTGCGAAATTTGGAGGAAGAAAATGAGAATCTCAAAATACAGTTTAAGCAACATTCTTCACAACTAGAGTCTTCTCTCAGCAAATACAACACCTGTCAGAAAGTCATCCAAGAGCTGAATAGTGAGGTGAGTGGACAGAAACCCCAAGGGGGTAAGAAACTTGAACTCCGTGTCCCTGGACCTAAAATCACCTCCTAGCTCTTCCCCCACCACAGAAATGCTGGGCCCTTGTGCATCCTGTGATACCTGCAGCCCCTCTCCTCTCCTTCAAGTATTGTACCCCTTCAGTATCCAGTTGCTCAGCCAAAGAACTGTTCCTTCCACATGTGGAAGGTCTTATTTAAAAACATCTGGTGGAGCTCCCAGACTATTTGGGCTTTGGCATCGAGTCTTCCAATGTTGCATCTGAGACCAGAGTTAAGTGAATCCATTGTCTGGGGCAGTTTGCTGAGGAACACTTCCAAAAATAATGCCAAAGCACAAAAACTGGGTGGAAGGGGAGGTGGCTGTTTTTCATTACACAATAAAGATGACAGAAAGGAGTAAATGCATCTAACATATGCGAGGCACTGTGCTTGAGTTCAGTCATCATTTATTAATTGTCTATGTAAGTCCTTTACATGCCTTCCATCTGCTTTACTCCCAAGAAGACATACGTTACTATGATCCTCAGTTTACCAAAAAAAAGAAAAGCTATGGCTTAAAGTGACTGATTAGTAAGGATGGGATGGACCAGCATTTGAACATGGTTCATCTGAGTCTAACATCAAACCTCTTTCCCCTTCATCATGAATGGCAATGTTTTTTCCCCAGCTGAATACATTCCATCTTTCTGGGCAAGAAAAATGGAGCATCTTAATAGGTGGTCTCTTGGGTTACCAATGAGAAACCAGCATGTCTGATTACTTCACAACATAACAAAGAAAAAAGTTAATCTTAAAATGCTATGACTATTCTAAGAATAGCTCTGCCCAATAGAATTTTCTGCTATGACAGGAAATTCTAAATTACAGCTGTCTAATACCATATCCACTAGCCGTGTGTGGCTACTGAGTGCTTGGAATATGGCCTAGTATAACTCAGGAACTGAATTGATAATTTTAATATAACTAATTTTAGTTTTATTTAAATGTAAATAGCCTCATGTGGCTAGTGTCTACCATATTAGATAGCAGAGAATCTCATGTCCCTGGAGTTTTGTGATCCAGAGGCAAGTTCTAAGTCACTCAGATCCTCAAGGAACCTCTCTGCCAAAAAGGGCTACTACTTAAGTACTTGATAGAGGTTTGTCATTACAATTGCCAAAAGAAAGATAGTCATGTAAATGTGGAAGTAAAAGCACTAAGTTCAGAACTCCTTTGGTGGGAATCAGGAGGCTAGAGGGTTTTATGTGTGTGTAAACATGTTCCACTTTTTAAAAGCATGCCCCACCCTGGTTAGTGTGGCTCAGTGGATTGAGTACCAGCCTACAAACCAAAGGGTCACCAAGTCAATTCCCAGTCAGGGCACATGCCTGGGTTGTGGGCCAGGTCCCAGGTAGGGGACACATGACAGGCAGCCACACACTGATGTTTCTCTCACTTTCTTTCTCCCTCTCTTCCCCTCTCTCTAAATATAAATAAATAAAATCTTTAAAAAAATAAAAGCATGCCCCAATTATGAATCAATTGAAATAGCCATTAGAAAGAGGCTTAGTTTTGCATTCTAAAACATATTTTTATTTCATCAATATTTTATATGTCAATTTAAAAATGTCCCATCTGAAGTCAAGGCAATATATATGGAGATTCTTTTTACCTCCTTGATTCTAGGATGCCTTCTACCACATTTTATAATTAATTACTGTTAATAATAATAAAGCTAATTTATGTTTATATATTTATTCTGTATTGGGACATTTTACCAAACTCACTTATAAGCAGTAATAGTTTTTTAGTTGCTTCTCATGGATTCTCTAAGTTATGGTAAGATCATTTGCAAGAAACAATTTTTTAAACCTTTATAATATTTTTTATTCATTATGCAATTATAGGTGTCCCATTTCCCCCCTTCATTCCCCTCCACCCTACACACCTTCTCCCCCCACATTTCCCACCTTTAGTTCATGTCCATGTGTCATAAGTTCCTTAGCTTCTACATTTCTCACACTATTCTTGCCCTCCCCCTGTCTATTTTCTACCTACCATCTATGCTACTTATTTTATGTACCTTCTCCCCCCTTCTCTTCCTCCCACTCCCCTGTTGCTAACCCTCCATGTGATCTCCATTTCTGTGTCTCTGCTTCTGATCTAGCTGTCCACTTAGTTTGCTTTTGTTTTAGGTGTGATTGTTAATAACTGTGAGTTTGCTGTCCTTTCACTGTTCATCTTTTTTATCTTCTTTTTCTTAGATGTAAGTCCCTTTAACATTTCATATAGTAAGGGCTTGGTGATGATGAACTCCTTGAACTTGACCTTATCTGAGAGCACTTTATCTGCCCTTCCATTCTAAATGAAAACTTCGTTGGATAGAGCAATCTTGGATGTAGGTCCTCTTTTCAAGCCTTCTTGCCTGTAAGGTCTCTTTTGAGAAATCAGCTGACAGTCTGATGGGCACTCCTTTGTAGGTGACTGTCCCCTTATCTCTTGCTGCTTCTAGAATTCTCTCCTTCATTTTAATCTTGGCTAATGTAATTATAATGTGCCTTGGTGTGCTTCTCCCTGGGTCCACTTTCTTTGGAACTCTCTGAGTTTCCTGGATTTCCTGGAAGTCTATTTCCTTTGACAGATTGGGGAAGTTCTCCTTTATTATTTGTTCAAATAAGTTTTCCACATGTTACTCTTCCTCTTCCCCTTCTGGTACCCCTATAATTTGGGTTTTAGAATGTTTAAAAATGTCCTGGAGACTCCTAAGCCTCTCCTCATTTTTTTTGAATTCTTGTTTCTTTATTATTTTCTGTTTGGTTGTTTCTTTCTTCCTTCTGGTCCACTCCATTGATTTGAGTCCCAGTTTTCTTCCCATCACTATTGGTCCCCTGTGCATTTTCCTCCATTTCACTTAGTGTGGCCTTCATTTGCAACCAAAATCAACCAGTTTTGTGAGCATCCTGATCACCAGTGTTTTGAACTGTGCATCTGGTAGGTTGGCTATCTCTTGGTCACTTAAAGTATTGGCTCTGGGGCTTTGATTTGTTCTGTCTGAGCCATAATGTTTTAGTCTGTTCACACCTGTTATATATGAGGGGAGGAGCCTTAGGTGTTCACCAGGGCAGGTCAACCCAGTCACTGGGTTGTGACGCTGTTTTGGGGGGAGGGGTCAGAGAGGGAGCGATGGTGCTTGTTCTGCTCTCTCTTGGATTTCAGTCCCCTCTGCTGCTCTCCACAAGCAAATTGGGCCCTTCTAGTGCTTATTCCCAGGTGGGTGGGCTTGTGTACTTTCCAGAACTCTGTGGGTCTCTCCAACGAACTCTCCTGTCAGGTTGGGAGTCTCTCCCGGCACCTCAATCTCCAAAAGTTTTTTCAATCTGTGCTTTTAGTCTTTATTTCCTGTTGCTGGGTCCCTGGGTTGTGCAGTCTGCCTCACTGCCCTTTTTTTTTTTTTTTTTTGGCCTGGTTTATCTGCGCACAAATGTGTGTCGGCGATCAGCCAACCACCTTGCATGTCTCACTGGGTTTGCTGGTTTTCTCCCCACACACGATTCTGCTAACCACCTCCTCTTCTTGCCGGGACCCCTCTCTGCAGGCTGCCGACTCCGCCCCTCTTACTGATCTGGATGAATGTTTCATTGTTGTGGGACTTCGGTACAGTTTAATTTTCTGTTTGTTCTGGTTGTGTTTTTGGTTCTAAATTTTTGTTGTCCTTAAATTTGGGTGTGTGAAGAGGTACAGTATTTCCACCTATGCCTCCATCTTGGCCAGAAGTCTGCCTTTATAATATTTTATTTTTCTTGCCTTATTGCATAAGACAGTACCTACAATGTAGTGTTCAACAGTAGCATCCTTTTCTTGCTTTTAATATTAATGGAATTCAAGTTTTAGTATGATTCCCTGTAATGTGGTGAATAAAATTAATTGATCCTAATTTTGACCCACCCTTGTATTCCAAGTATAAATGTTCACTGTGTATCATGTACCCCTCTTTCAGTCACTCCTTGGAACATTATAAGAAATGAAATAAAGCCAATATGACTATAATGTAGCAATCAAGTATTGGTGTAAATGACAGCAAAGAAATATGTAGGGGCAGATATCATAGACTGTTAAGAAATTTTGTGTTTTGTTCTGAGAACAATCAATAGATTGAGGAAATTTTTTTCAAAGGGCAGAGGAGGTGATTTGATCTGACTTAGGTTTTCAGAATATAACTTTGACTGATGTGTTGAAATGGATTGGGGAGAGGGGTAAGTGTGGAAGTGAGGAAACCAGTTGGGAGGCTATAGCTATCTAAGCTAGAGTTGTGTCAGTAAAGACAGGAGATAGCAAATTCAGGATGTGTTTTGGCAGTAGAATTGGTCAGGCTAACTGACAGAATGAATGTGAGAGAAAGTAAGGAATCAAGGATGACTTAGTGCAACTCACCTATAAAACCATCTGGGTCTAATGCCTTTGGCAAGGAGAAAATAGACCTTTATGAGAACTTTTATTAAAACTCCTTGATTCTGTGTTTTTAGTATCATTTTCCAAGATAAACCACTCATGTTTGAGAAATTTAAGACAAACCTTCCATTTTAGTTTCTAGCATCATTGCGATTTCTTCGCCACCTTATTTTTAGTTTCTCACTTCTATGATGAATTTCTCAATTCAGCCACCAATTATCAAGTGCCTACAGTGAATTATGATTTTTCCCATGGCTCTCCTGGTTTACTGTGCAGACCCAGTTGACTCCACGTTTTTTCAGAAGTCTCCAGGAACAGTGTACTTTTATTCCCAGAAGACCAACTTATTCCATCTTTAGGATTAATTTCACCCATACCCCAGACATGTAAATATAGGAGCAGAAATATACTTACATTCTAAGGTCAAAGATACTCAAAATTCCATTTGAAAAAATAATAAACTTCAAGTACTGAGCAGTTAGTGAAGAAAACCCAAAAGAGTATGTTACTGTGCATGTGGCCACATGGAGAATGCAGAATACCAAAAAATAGAAGTAAAGTATATGAATTTCTAAGGTCTCCCTCCTGCTTCCAGACTTAGATGTAGATCTCTGTCCTGTACCTAAAGTATATAATAAGATGGCTGATTCCTTAGCATCTTCATGATCATAACACACAGCTATGTAGTACTTATACTTAGAAGGCCATTTTTACATCTCATTTGACCATCACAAAATCTCTATGAAGCAGTTGAAAGCATCCCAATTTGCAGAAGAAACTGAGAGTCCAGAGATTAAATAAATGAAGAACCAGGACTTCAACACAGATCCTCTAACTCCACATCTCAATTCCTTTTAACTAGCACAAATACTCATTACTAAGTTTAAGACAGAGACTTTAGTTTTTAAATATACTTCTGCCGGAACTATGGGTTTAATGCATCTCTGATTATAAACACTGCCCGATGCAATATTTCACTTGATCCAAAACAATTATTTAATATTAACTGAGCACCAGTTGTGTGCCATACCCTGAGCTGTAAGTGGTGGGATAGAGCAATGAAGAAAGTACGCACAGCCCACCTTTCATGGTGCAACAAATCTAATGGATAATGTCAGGAACAAAGTGAGGCATAATGCACACAACTGAGATACTGTAGCACATCTCCCACCCTAGAATTGGACTCCAGATCTTTATCAAAGGCTGCAGAGTCAGCGAAAGGGACTTCCCATGTACTTGACACATGATGACCCAGTACTTCCAGTTGTCTTTGTATTGGGGGGAGATGGAACTAGAAGGTTCAACTGTGGGGAGAGGGCAGCAGAAGAGCCTGGAAAGGCAGCTCTTCCTTTTACAACAATGAGGTGGAGTTGAAGCATTATCACATACGGGAAGGAGAACCCAGTGTTTGTCCATTTTCTTGTAGACACTCAGAATGTCTCTATAGCCATGAACCTTAACCATGATATTCCCTCTCCCTGAAGGTTGCCTTTCAGAAGGAGGCCTTAGCGAGTCTGCAGACCCAGCTAGACAAGGCTTTGCAGAAAGAGAAGCACTATCTCCAGACCATGGTCAGTAAAGAAGCCTATGAGGAATTATCCCGGAAGTCAGCTGCCTGCCAAGATGACCTGACACAAGCTCTCGAAAAGGTGGGCCACGTCCTGTATCTCTAGGGTTGTTCGGGGACAAAGAAATAAATGTCCTAGCAGTGGGAAAGACATAGGAGTCAATTTCCTACACTATTGGCTGTCACCAATGCTGTCTGCAAACCCTTGCATGAGCTGGGATGTCTGTCCAGAGAAGGCCTGCTTCTTCTTAGTGAGGGTTTTGGGGAGGGCTTGGGGGAGCAAAGGTGGAGGCCAGATCTAACAGATCTTTCTGCTCGTAGGTGATCCCAGGGGGAAAGTTTTTACAAAGCCTGGATTATCAGGGAAATTCATGCCCTATGCTGATCATTCCTGGCAGATCAGTTTATAGGACTGAAAAGAGAGGAAATAGGGGAGGGAACATGGGGAGGCAGAAAACCAACCACTGTCATTTCCCACTATCTCTAGGATACTAGGAAAGTGACAGGGTGTCTGTGCCACCCTGAGCAGAGGACAGGGAGGGATCAGAACTCTTCTCCAGTCAAAGGCTCAGCAGAAAAGGCCAAAGGGCTCTGACAGCCACTCTCATCCCTTTGTCTTTACCTAAAGCTCAATCATACGATATCAGAGACCAAGAGCCTGCACCGAAACTTGACGCAGGCCCAAGATAGGAAAGTTCAGCTGGAAGATGAAATTATGGCGTATGAGGAGAGGATGAAAAAACTCAACATGGAATTAAAAAAACTTCAAGGCTTCCACCAGGAGAGTGAGCTAGAGGTGAGGGGCTGTCTGAGGCTCAGGCTGTTTTCCTGCTCTAGGTCCCCAAGGTCACCTCTAGCACCCAGAACTCTTTAGCACTGAACCATTATCTTTAATTAATGGGTTCCCTCCCCTCATTTGGCCCTCTGAGCTTAAGGCATAGAAGCAACACTCAGAGAGCATGGGTGCCCTCTGCTGGCCACTGGAAATAAAATACCCCCTAACGAATCTGAAAGATGGGAAAGAGCCCTCTGGCCTCATTATGGGTCCTCTGGAATCAGGGCAGCAAGCTGGGGTCTCCTCCTCACTTTGTTCTTCTGAGCAGGTACATGCCTTTGACAAGAAGCTGGAGGAGATGAGCTGCCAAGTGCTGCAGTGGCAGAAGCAGCACCAGAGTGACCTCAAGATGCTGGCCGCTAAAGAAGAGCAGCTCCGGGCCTTCCAGGAGGAAATGGCCACCCTGAAAGAGAGCCTCCTTGCTGACGAGAAGGAGGTGGGGACTCCTCAGCTTCTGGTCACTCCTTCCCAGTCCCTGACAGCACATTGCACAACCATCTGGATGCCAGATAGCACTTGGTGGGGGGGTGGAAGTGACTGGGAACAAGGAAAGAACACCTGTTCTATTCCGTACAAAGCAGGGTCTAGGTGCTCTAGGACCACAGCACCTGTCTGAACCCAAACATCTTCCTATCAGGCACACCAGTCACCCCTGACTCAGGTAATCCACTAGGCAGTTCCCCTCCGAGCCCATCCTAGCACTTTTATTTACCACACTGTAGAGTCAGCTAAGAGATCTCAGGCGTGCCCCATGCCCAGCACCCTGAACCATGAAATTCATGGCAGGAAGCCACAGATACCTTCGGGTGGCCACAGGGCCTTTGCTCTAGTTAGAAAAAAGGCATCGTCTCCTCAAGATATTTTTTTCTCCCATATTGAAAAATTGACTTAACATACTGCTCTTTTAGAACAAGCCACTTCCATTGATATCTTTGGCCTGAAAAATCATTACTGTAAATATACAAATCTACTCTGTACATAAACATTGCCTGCTCAGCGGTGTCACCTTGTGTGGGTGCAACCTGCCCTGCTGGAGGCAGAGTCCTGCTGTGGCAATTCCAACGCTGGCCTTGGGGTTGGACAGCAGAGTCAGCATTTCTTCTCCCAGGAGGAGAGAAGAGGCCGAATCGGGAGTAGGGAGCTGACAGGCCTGTGCTCCCACCCTTACTGTCCCATTTTCTTCTTGTACCAAAGACCTGTTGCCTGCCCCCTCGGTCTGCACCCAAAGACCCCTGTAAGCTGCGCCGAGAGAATGATCAGATTATGACCAACATGGAGCAATGGGCCAAAGACCAGAAGTAAGTAAGGAAGAAAAAAGTAAAGCAGGGTCCCAAGGCCTGGGCTGAACTGAGGGACCCATACATGTGCCAAAGAATAGTATCACACAGAGCCCTTCTGGGAAGCTGATCCAGTCCCAGCACACACTCAAGGGTTGGGGATGAGCTAGACTTAGAAATGGAGTAGCTCTTCCAACTTGGTGTCCAGTTTCACTGCCTGGATCCCTGGAACTCACCTGGGATCACAGGGAATTTGCACAGGAGTTGAGTATGGAGAGTCCTCTTAATTGCCAGGCGGCAGGAGCTCCAGCTCTGGGCACTGGGTGATGAGCAGAGGCTTGGGGCCCAGCAGAAGCCCTGCTGAGAACACCCATGTTCACAGTGGTCTGAGAACTCTTTCTCTTGTGCATTTTATTACAGGATCGCCAATGAGCAATTAGGAAACAAGCTCCGTGAACAGGTCAAATATATCGCCAAGCTGACTGGTGAAAAGGAGTGAGTCATCCCACACCACCCTGGCTGTTGCTGGGGCCCTAAGGAAAGGATCAGCCAGGAGCCAGAGTGGCTTTATCACTGGGTGCATATAAATACCCCAGGAAAGGCCTGGGACTTGGAAAAACTCCAAGTCCTATCCGAATCTGTGTGACCTTGAACACATCACTTCACCTCTTTGGGCCGTAACTCCCTCAACAACAATGCAAGGGTGTTGATAGTCTCCGTGTGCCTTCCCGCTGTCATTTTCTGTGTTTCTCAGAGGTCGTGGGCACTGAAAGCAGACTGTGTTAGTTAGGGTAGGGGCCAAGCTGCTCTAATAGAGATCTCCAAATGAAGGAACATCTCTAGGAGGTGAGAGGTCCGGGTTGGTGGGGTTCCTCTGTCCCACGTGGTCATTTGGGGACCCCATCCCTTCCATTTGTTGCTCTACCGTCCCCTGTGGCCTTGCTTCCCTTTCATGGTCAAAGCTGGGTCAGCAGAGAATGTGATAGGAGAGGACTGTTGAAAGTTCACGAATAGAGGCAAAGATATGGATGTCTAAAACTGAGATGTCAAAGGCAGTATAGCAATAGGTAATGACAAGCTCTAGAGCAGTGCTTCTCAATCTTCCATCAAAGAACACTTAGAAAATGACCACATTTGTTTGGCACACTGGGAGGGTCTGGGATGGGGTTGCCTTGACAAAGTTGACCAATCAGCAGCTGCTCCATCCCCTGCACCAAGGGTGGAGGTATCTCAGCACACCTAGAACCCATCCATGGAAAGCTCAGTTCCCGGCTTTGACCTAAAGAAGGGTGGACAAGTTGAAAGTGAGGGTAAGATCATTGGAATAGGGAGGTAGGAACAGAGAGGCCATTGGGGATGCTGACCAGGGAGAGAGGCAGCGAGCCAGGGAAGTGGGGCTTGCCAAGAACAAGCCCACCTGCAAGCCCAGGACATAGGAGAACAGGAGGGCAAAGCATATGGCCAGAGAAGAAACAGGATGAATACTTTATTTAATTTTCTTTAGGGAGAAAAAAAACATGAAAGTCTTTACTAGAACAAAAATACTTTCTGAAAGAGTTTAATTAAAAGAAAAATTGTCAGAATCTGAGGGTAACAGAGAACATCAGACTCTTTCTTACACTGTGCCAAGTTCCAAGTAGTTCTGTTTCATTCTTGAGTGGGCTTGAGCCTTTTTGAAGGCTATCTTTGAATAATAGCAATAGCTCCACTAATATTTATTATGTACACATGTGAGGTACTGTTCTAAGTACTTTACTGGTATTAACTTATTTAATCTTCATAAGACCTCACCAATTAGGTACAATTGGAAATCAGAGGCTAAGTAACTTGCCCGTGGTCTCACAACTAGTAAGTGGCAGAGCCAGCATTCCAACTCAGGAAGTTTGGTTCCAGAGCCACTGCCCCACTGCCCTCAACATTGATTTGGAGAAATGTAACTATTGATATGAACAGCTGCCATTGGCTGAGCCACGGGGATATGCCGATGTATATGCCCCACTTGTGCACATCACAGCCACTGTTTTCTCATCTGTAAAATGGGGATAAGTTACTTGCCCTAGCTTTCAACAGAGCCGGATCCCCATGCTTTCAATCTTTCAGCAAAGGGATGTGAAAGAACTTGGACTTTAGCATTAGAGCCGGGTGAGAGAGTTTCCGAGGCATAGCCGTAAGAAACCCAGCACTTGTGATCAGAGTCGTTTGTGACAGTGTCTGGCTCTTCCCATCACATTCCCATCATTCGTCAAACTCAATTGCCCCCATCTAAAAGTGAGAAAACAAAGCCAGAGCTGAGATAACTCAGTGGGTCAGGGGTGTTCCCCAACCCCAGGCCTGTGCCTCTTCCAGGGAACACACATAAGCATCCATTTCCACAGAACATGTCTGAAAGCACTAGCTCTGGAAGGAACCAGACATCCGTGGTTCTCTTTCTTGTGGGGCCTTTATTTGTCCTTTCCAGTGGGGAAACAGTATCTGGAGCATACCAAACACCCACCAGCACTTCCCTCTCCCTCCCCAGCCACCTCCACAATGTAATGGTCCACCTGCAACAGGAAAACAAGAAGCTGAAGTGCGAGATAGAGGAGAAGAAGCTGAAATCAGGGCACCCAAGGTTGTGCACCAAAGCCCTGAGCCCAAGCAAAACAGAGTCCACACAAAGAGGGAAATTGTGTGGCACCCTGGGCTGGAGGGGGACCACCCGGGACATGAGGCAAAGAATGGATGTCACCAAGTTTGTCGGGATGCCCCACTGTTCAGGTATGTCTGCCGCTTGACTTTTGCTACTTACTACGATGTTGTCTTAGTCCCACAGGTCAAAAAATGACAGCCTGATGGTATTTTTCAAGAGATCACTGGATTGGGAATTCAAATAGAGAAAAGAAAACAAATCTGTTTTTTGCTGACTCAGTACCAGAGATCATAGTTTCCTTGTCTATAGACACGACGTGTTGCTCTAAGAATCTTGGCTGATACCCGAATGCCTCATATCTCAGATCTATCCCTTACCCTGACCAGTCCCCTTTGGGAATGGTGAGGACCAAAGGGGAACAGGCAGAATAGGCATCTTCCTCCTTTCATGTGTTCTGGACACCCCCAAAGAGCAGCCTGTCCCATGCATAGCCTGGGTCCACAGCTACCTGTTCTACCATGCAGACTCCATGTTACCCCAGGAGCAAGCCACACCCCAGCAGAGCCACCTGACCACTGGCCAGTCCTTGAGGAATCACCTCATTAATTTCTCCTTAAATCAAGACTGTCACCTCCTCCCTGTTCCCTCAGGTTCCTCATATTACTAGAATCAGCACCTTGCCCTGAGCATCATTCCCACCTGTGTTTTTCCGAGGACAGTGAGTTCCCAGCCCTCTCTCCTGACCTGGATCAGCACTTACGGGAACATGTCAAGGTTCCGGCCTATTTTGCAATACACTAATAATTTATTGGGTTTTGTCTACTTCCCACAGTGGAGTGAGCCTCCGAACCACAGAACCATCTCCAGGCCCAGACTCTAAAATAAAGGCATGAGCACAGCAGTCTGTGAGCTCCTGGTGCCCTGCAGGCACCTCTGCCCCTCTGAGCCCCCAGCAGTGTGTCCATCCCGATTTCTCTGGATTCTAAGATACAGGTCTCTTTCACACCTATAGGGAGCTGAAATTCCCAAAGTGAGCTTCTGGACTGGTTTATAAACCAACAAGAAATAATTAGCTCCTTTTTAATTCTTTCCATCTCTGTCTGGAATTTAAGAAGAAAAGGTCTAAAAACCTCAAAAAGGAAGTAATCCTAAGGCCAAAAAGAAGAGAAGAGAAATAAGTGATGCATTTTTCCAAATGAAGGAGGGAGAGACTGCCTTTTCTCTGGCCACCACATTGTATTCTTCCCTTTAACAATTTTATTTTCCTCCCCAGCCAGCTCAGTACAAGTAAAATTCCATTATAACAAACTCCAAGGACAGCTAAACTATTTTATTGTGGCAGGATTTTGTTAAACTGAGTACATGTCTAGAATTTCTATTTCTAGTCCATAGGAAATTGAGAAAAATAGCTACAAAGGTAAAGTAAAAGAAAGAAATGAACGAGCTTGCATTTCTGGGTGGAAGGAAAGGAAAAGCAAAGGAAGAAACCCACTAGTTGGTAGCAGTTCTTAAATACTCTTGCCTCCTTCCCCAGCCAAACAAAGGCAATGAAAAGTCACTGCTTATAGCAACGTAGGATGCCAGGACTCAGGAAAGACGAATTCCAGAAATGTCGTGTAAGGCGAGGGTCATGGGCACATCCAGTATTTCTGTTGTGATGGGCGTTGTCTGTTTGCTTCTGCTCTTTTTGACCGTCTTCCTCCATTTCACTTAGAATGAGGACATGTTTTTGAGAGAAAACAAAGACTCAAGTATCTGGTACTAATAATAGCTTCCTAGTTCCAGCCTGTGGACCATTTTTTTAAACAAAAGTTCAATGTCATTAAAATCTCCAGTGCAGTCTACAAAGAACCCATTTTGTTTATAATTTACAAAAAGGTTTCATATACTATATGTTGGTGAAAGTAACAATATCTGGGTACTTTGAATGCTATACATTTTTTCAAAGTTGTCTTTCATTTCCAATAGAGTAATCATACCAGAGCTCAGCAGGTAGCAAGTTAGGGGAACAAAGGGGCAGCAGAGCCAGAAAAACACCAGTTTGTCTCCTAGCCGCCTGGCCTTCAGATGGAGGAGAGCGGTCAGACTTAGAGAAATATGGTTTCTCTGCAGCAGGACGAAGGGCTGGGAAGCTGAGTGTTGCCTGCCTATAATTCTTTAACCAAAGAAGTTAGTTCCTAAAAAGTAGTTTGAACAGCTGATATATATTTTTTAAGATTTTATTTATTTTTGTTTTAGAGAGGGGAAGGAAGGGAGAGAGGGAGAGAAACATCAAGCCTCTCGTGCGCCCCCTACTGGGGACTGGGTCTGCTACCCAGGCATGTGCCCTGACTGGGAATTGAACCAGCAACCCTTTGATTTACAGGCCACCACTCAACCACTGAGCCACACCAGCCAGGGCTGATTTTTTTTAATGGTCTCTGTATGACACTTAATAATAGACATGTCATTACACGTTTGTCCAAACCCACAGAATAATGCAACACCAAGAATGACCCCTAATGTAAACTGTGGGCTTTGGAGGATAAAGAAGTTCACCTATGGTGACAAATGTACCACCCTGGTAGGGGACAGTAGTGACAGGAGAGGCTGTGCGTGTGCTCAGAGTACACAGGAAATCTCTGTACCTCTTGCTCAATTTTGCTGTGTACCTAAAACTGCTCTAAAAAATAACAACAAAAAATGACTGTAAAGCTAGGACCTAGCCAAAAGGATTATAAATAAAATAAGTGCTTCAGCCACTCAGTGGGAGAATGTCCCCCAGATTCTGATGCCTGGGGCCAGCAGAATCCTGTGTAACAGATCCTCTTCTCCCAAGAGGATAATAATTCTCCCCCTGAGCTAAAGGAGCCCACAGCAAACATCAGCCCCCTCATCCTGCCTCCTTACCAAAGGGAAGAGGGGGCTCCCTGCCATAGACAGGGCCTGGCAAGCAAGCTCTAGGGTCCCCAGAATGAGTCCCCTATCTCAACCTGGGACCCTCAGCTGTTGATATTTCCATTGTGTCTAAAGCACCCTGTTACTGCTGACAAGGCATTAAAGGGCAGATGCCCATGACTGAGTACAAGGCAGGGGACCCCTGTAAAGACGTCCAGTTCAGTGGCCTCACTGTTCCCTCACACCCAGAAGTCTGAAATCCAGTCCCAGAATCTGCTTCAGGGCTGCTGTGACAGAAATGTTTTTGTACCTCTAAAAAAAGCGTGGGTTATTATCTGAGGAAATGCTGGTAAGAATCGGAGTGTTAAAGCTAAAAGGAACTTACAGGTGGATCTGAATGGAAATGGTCTGCCAATTAAAGAGAAAAGATTGGAGAGACAGGGGCAGACTTAGGCAAAAGTCCCAAAACCAAAACAGATGCAGGTAGCGCCCCTGGTAAAGAGGAGCCTTCCCACTCCTCTTGCGGGCCCATGTGTGCCAAGTGTCCTTTGCTAGATGTTCTTGCTTTTAAACTAGAAGGTTGAATGGGACTCATGGTCGTCATAACCTCTGTGGCATCTAAAGGACCTGAAGGTGAGTCTGTGACTGGTCATAGCTTTTTAGTAATAAAGCCACAGTTGGAACCTCAATCTTTTTTTCCTGTTCTGTTGCATCCTGAGCCCAAGTCAATAAATACATTACATACCCAGCTTACTTCTCTCCACAGAGCAGGTAGACAACTTCTGCTAGCCCTTCAACTCAGGGCCAAGATAGAAGCCTTCCCAGGCAAACAGCCAGAAGCTCTCTCTTCACTCTGGAGCCAAGAGAAGTCAGTTTCCACCTGCATTTCCAATAAAGGCGGTTAGAGGTAAAAAGAATGGAAGTAGAGGTATAGCTCGTGCTAGCTGGTAAAGCCTGACTTCCAAACTCACCCATAAAACTGACTTAAAATTGAACTTAAATGTTGAGTTATACTTAAAATTGAACTTATGTTGAGTTACAACAGATGGAAATTCAAATCCCCAGAAGAGAGTGAGGGAGCGTGTGGAACTAAGTCAGCAGTGTGAGCCTGGCCCCAGAGGGCTCTTGCTGAGCGCTGGCTAGTATCCAGGTGCTTCTTAGCCCCAAGCCTGTAGGTGACGCAGCCCCAACACTGAACCTTGTAACCAGCACACCTGGCAGAAGTCCAACCCTAGGGAATCACAAAATAAGGACTATGAGTGACACAAAGGACCAAATAGTTACCACGGCAGACTTAAAAGACCGCTTAACAAAAGACTGGGATTCTGGCCTAAGAATCATCTTTTATATGAAAATCGGTAAACAACAATTTACACTATTTTCCATGAATACACAAACCTGACACATGCAGAGTCAAAACTTTTGCCATTCTGGGCAAAAGAGCAGCAACCCCTGAGGAGGGGCAGAGGGTACATACTGGCTCACCTCCCTCCCTTCCCAGCCACCCGCCATCCTTAGGAACAGCTTGGCACACAGAGCTGGGTGCTGGTGGCCCGGGCCACTCTCTTCCCTGTCAGCTGTGCCCCACCTTGCCAATCCCTCGTCTAAGAGGCCACCACTGCCTGGAGAACAGAAACAGGATGAGCCACAATTCCAGCAGGATCCACCCAAGTAAAGTCAGTTTGTAGTCCTGCCCACCGTGTGAGTTAGGGTAGTAAAGGAAAAAGAACAGTCAGGCAGTAACATTTTACAAATAATAAATTTATTTCCAAATCCTGAATTATAACCAAATTACAATTCCCTCTAGGTACGTTTTGCTGCTTTACACAAGAATGTTAAAAAACATAGTCAATGGCCAAGTCATTTATACATCAGCGTCCTGGGGACAGTTTATTTGGCTGCAATGAGTCCAGCCACCTCTAGCAGCTTCTCAGCTGCTCTGTGGCCCTGAACCTGCATTGAGGAACTCCTGCTTCCTCCCTGGCAGAGCCCTGCCCTCAGCAGTTCCCGCAGGGGCGGTGATGCACACAGATGAAAGCACAGAGATGAAAAGGTTTTGTCAGCAGGCCAAGGGTGCTCCTGTCACTCAATACCTGACTCCCACGCTCTGCCGGTATAGCCTCTGCTCACAGCCCAAAGCGGGCTGGTGTGCGGCGAGGAGTCATGGGCTCCCCTTGCTCCTTTCGACCAGGAGTGTAGATCTTTGTAGACCTGGAGACACAGAAGGAGGGGTTAGGAATCACTGCTGCTCACTCCACCCAACATACACAGCAGGACCAGGAGCCTGAGGCCTCACAGTGTCCAGCTGGTATGTGAGCAGGCTTTGGGGCTGAAGGGGCTTCTCCAGCACATTTCCACTCCCCCTTCCTTCCCCACTTGTGAGTGGGAGCAGAATGTTACCTCATTCTGATATCCACTAAGGAATGATGCAAGATAGATTATTTAACGACTCCTTTCATATCCCCTAGGTGAGCTGTGGAGGTAACCTCCCATCCACCTCACCAGGCTGCCACTCCAGCTGCATCTGAGTCTCTGGCTGGCCTTCATTCCCAGTTCCTGGGAAGTAATCTCTAAACCCTTGGGATTTCCTAATGAATTGGAGTGTCTCTGATACATGGCAGGAAGGCAGGGATGTGGGGGAAGCTTGTACCACATCTGATAGTTTATGCTAATAAGATGATTAAGGACTAGGGGCCATCAGGCTAGAAAAACCGACCATGTGATTAGAGGGCTGTGCTTTGATCTGGGGAGGGAAAGGGGACTGGAGACTGAGTCGACCACATGGGTGCTGGCTCAAGCTATGTATGTGCCTACATATGAAACCCCAATAAAACTCCGGGCACAGATGCTCGGGTGAGATTCCCTGCTGGCGATACTCTGTGCGTACACACCGTGTCAGGAGGTTAAAACGGCCCTGAGGACAATGGAAGCTTTGCATTCGGCTCCCTCCAAGACCTCACGCTATGCATCTCTCCCTTCAGCTGGTTCCAATTTGTATCTTTTTGCTATAATAAAACAGTAATCAGAAGTACATACTTCCCTGAATTCTGTGAGGAGTTCTAGCAAATTATGAAACCTAAGGAAGTCTGCAGGGGTCCCCAATCTGTAAAAAGTTGGTCAGAGGTGAGGGGTGACCCTGCGTATCCCCCAGCGTGCAGCTGGTGTCTGAAGTGAGGGCAGTCTTGCAGAAGACTGTGCCCTTCACTGTGAAGACTGACTTAACTCAGGCACCAGCACAGACGCAGAAGTCTAAGGCCCTCCTCCCGTCGCCACTGTGCTTTCCAAGCCCTGGCTTGTCAGTAAAGCTGTGAGACTTACTCTGTTACTCCAGCCCACCTTAGGCCCCAGATACGACACAATGGACAGTGACCAGGGCTTGCAGATTATCACCCCCTGAAAGTGCATCCGGAACTCCTCCATGTCTCCACATGTGATCATCATCAACTTTTGTCACCAACACCTCTACACATTCAACTTAAAATACAACCCTGGATCAGGGCCTAGTGGATCCATCAAGCTGGTCCCTGGAGCTTCCAGGGAGACTCTCTCCCAGCCCAGGTCCCAAGGTCAAAACTTACCTGACACTGCCTAGGGGGCTGCGCTTTTCCTGCTCCTGCCGCCGGGCTCGCAGCTGCTCCTCGGCCAGCGCCATCTCTTCCTCCATGGCAGAGGCTTCCTCTTTGGCCCGTCGGCGATTCTCCTACAGAAGGGAGAGAGCTACTGTGGGCCACTGGGGACCGGTGGGTACAAAGACCTTGTCTGTACCCATCTCCCTGCTGTAAGCCAGGTACTATGTAAACCACACCAGCTCCCAGAGGCAGCCCCACACTGCTCCCTGCCCCAGCACTACGGCCAGGGCCTTGAATCTTTTCTCACAGGTTCAAAATAGACACTGGATGACTCAGTCCCAACCCTGTCATGCCTCAGCACTCCATTCAATCCAGTAAGTACTTATGTTTTTCTTATAAAGTTCATAAATGCTCCATAAAGTAAGGAAATAGGGAAGACGTAACAATTGGCTGAAACGCTCAGACGAAAGGTGTGCAGGCCCAGTGTGGGGAGGACTATGCTGAGAAGGGGGAAAGCAAAAGCCCCACAACATTCTGCAGCCCTACATAATGGCTCTGGATGGTGGCCATCGGTGGACTCAAGGCCATGAAGAGATGGGGCAGCAGGTAGAGAATTTATAATGGAGGAATCAGGCGGAACCACTGGGCAAGTTCAGCAGCGGCATCAGTGGGACCACCAGCCCTTCTGAAAGGATCTGAAAGGAAGTTCACCTGCATTTGTGCATCCTTGTCCAGAACAGCTGAACCTGAATCTAATCAAGGCTTTAGATTAATTACTAGTTCACAGAAAGTACACGGAAGAGAGGCACTCGTTAAACCCCTCAAGGAACCAATCAGCCCAAAATAGAACATGGAACATTCTACAACAGGGGTCCCCAACCTACGGGCCGCGGACCAGTACTGGTCCAGGCCTATTAGGAACCAGGCCACACAAAAGGAGGTGAGCCTAAATGTAATGAGCTTGAATCACTGCGAAACCATCCCCCCTACCCTGGGCCATGGAAGAACTGTCTTCCATGAAACTGGTCCCTGGTGCCACGAAGGTCGGGGACTGCTGCTCTACAAGATAAATGACCTGGTTTCTGCAATAAATCAATACCATAAAAAGTGGTGGGGGCAGACCCTGCTCTAGAATAAAAAACGTAACACGTATAACAACAAATTTCAATGTTTGGATCCTAATTCAAGCAAATGAATTATACAAAGTTATCTTTGAGATAAAAGGGGAAATCTGAATGAAGACTAGAGCCTTAGGTGACACTAAGGATGAATTCTGTTAAGTGATAATAGCATGGAGGTAGTATTTTTACGTTTAAAGTCCTTTTAAAAACACAAAGTTAGGTATTGAGGGATGGAAAAAACATGGTGTCTGAGATATGCTTTAAAATATTTCAGGGAAAAGGCCCACTGACCCTCGAGGCACCTGAGCCCTCGCCACCAGCTATCTCCACAGCCACCACCCTGCAGGCCCCCAAATGGCCTCTGCTCTCTTCCTGCCCTCGGCCCTGCTGGCAAATCCCATGTGGAGCCTGCCCTTCCTTCACTCTGGGGCTGAAGGGCAGGCCCACAGCTCCTCTGCTCCCTAACCTCTTCCTCCCCAAGGACTGCCCAGCACTCAGTGCCCCTGCACATCCCATTGTGAAAATGCCACCTCAGCCTACCTATCAGCAATGAGTGGCTGGCCCAGCTCATCCTTCCAGAACCATCCCCCTACCCAAGCTGACTTGCAAAAGCAGGCCAAAATCCTGGAGGCCCAATGCTGAGGAAACCAGAACCCACCAGAACACAACTGCAAGAGAGACAGTGAGTGCATCCCCCACTTAGATGCCTCCTGGATGCCTCAAGCTTATCCCAACACACACACACATATAATGAGGGAATGTGAGCTCTGGAGCAGTTTCTCCGAGCTCCCAAGCATCCAGTTTCTTGCAAGAGACCTCAGTGGCTGCCCAGGAAGCTGTGCCCTCCACCAGGTCAAAGGCTCCCATGCCCACAGCAGGAACTGGCCCTCCATAGCCTGTCCTAAGACCAGCCAGGGGCTCTGAAAGGAGGAGAAAGAGGCAGCCACGGAGGCAAGGGAAACCAGAGGTACCTCGAGGCTTGGGTTAGCCAGTGAGTATATGTAAGAGACAGTAATAAAAACACATCATGAGGGGCAGAAGAAAGCATTTTTAGTACATTCTCTCTAAAAATACAAAAATACAATTAAATAAAATATTCAGAGGAAAAAATGGATGTTTGGAGGGGGCTGGGAGTAATCACAACAAAACTGGCAGAATGTTGATAATTATGGAGGCTGGGTGATGAATTCAGGGTAGCTCATTATACTGTTTTTTTTCCATTCTTATGAACATTTGGACTTTTTAATGACACTTTTTAAAAAAGGCAGTGGGTATGGGGAAATAGGACAGACCAGCCTGGTAGATCACAGTCACTATGACTGAGAGAGTAAGAGGGGTCAGATGATGATGTGTCTTCAGTACCAGGCTGAGGGGAAATGCATCCCAGAGGCAAACAGAACCTTCATAAAAAGCGCAGAGCCCTTACCTGCCGAGACTTTCCTGCCTGTTTCACGCTGTAGAACATGGGGCCCAGCTCCGCCAGCCACTCTCCGTCCACAGCAGTCACACACTGCATGTACTCCTGCAGGCAGAAGGGCCACAAGGTGGTGGTCACAGAAGGGCCACAGCTTCAAGCTGTCCCCCCCAGGGTGGCTCCACAATTAGGAGATATGTGGAGGGGCCCTACCTCCCAGCCCCCCGAGGCTGAAAAAAGCTGGGAAAAGCCTCAGAGACTGGAATTTTAATCCTCCTCCCACCAAAATTTCTCCATTTTTAAGAAAATGCCCTACCTTAGAAAACCATTTGAATAACATCAAAAGGGGCTGCTTGTCCCAGGCAGGAAGTAGGAGACTCCTGCTGGCACAGCCAAGACCACTGTGACTTACAGGTTAACTCTAAAGTTTCCCCAAACCCTCAACTGAAAACCTTCCTCCACTCCCCTCCAAGCACATGGTCTCAAGCTGCCAAAGTCAGATCTCACCCCAGAAGGCTGTGAAGGGGCCTGGCCCAGCCATGTGGGCCTATGTCACACAAGTCACCTTGAAAAAGACTCACCTTGGTGGTCATGACCAACTCGTGGTACACTATGTAGTCTGGAGTGTAGCCCATTCCAAAAA